GGTTCAAAGCTACTAGAAAAAAAGAAACCAAAACGAAAATGAAACGAAACGAAACGTAAGCAAAGCAGCGCTGCGAGCAGAGCAGCGAGCAGAGCGCTGAGCGGAGCGCATGATATGGTATGGTAAGCAGCAGAGCGGCAGAGGGGCTGGCTGCAGGGAGAACCCAAAAGGGAATCAACATCTGCCGCTGGGCAGGCAGACAGTCGCTCTCGCGGGCGTGGTGGTCGCTCGTCGCCTTGGCAGCGACGTCTGTGGATGGAGAAGCGAAGCTCTTGGAATGCTGCTGCTGCTGCTGCTTCTGCTGCTGCTGATGCTGCCGCTGCTGGAAGGCACAAGCCGAAAAACTAAACTAATGCTCAGCATTTATCGATGATGACGGTACACGGGGGGGGGGCGGAGGACAGTTTGCGGCGTTGACCCACAAATATTGCTGCTGCCGATATACATAATTATGTTAACCTCTGTCGCTGTCTGGCAGCGCACAACGATAATCACGATTAACATGATGATAAAGATAATGTTGTTGTTGATAACAGAGCTCCACGCGGCAGAGCAGCGCAGTAAAAGCAATTGGCAGCAGTTTTATTGAACGTCGCCGATCCTCGCGCCCTCCAGCTCCCTGTTAAACATAAAATGCGACCTTGTAGCCAGTGTGACCCTTCAAATAGAAAAGGGAGCTTTTCGTATACGTTTATCGAACCTGTTCACATTTCGATAACGATAACATTTTTAAGGTAGAAATCGATTAGGTACGAGCTCCCTACGATATAAATATACAAATAAAATAAATTGAATATTAAAAGAAAACCCCGTATGTAAAATCACGTTCTTTTCTGCATAAACTTAAAATTAAGAACCTAAATCGACAAAGCAAAAGTTCGCAACATTTAGAGTTTTAAGCTGAGTTAAGATCATGTCAGGACACAGCTGATGAGGTGAAGGATGAAGTCATTTCGTGTATAAACACCGATGCACACACATACATACGTATGCATGCACGTAGCCAGATATAGTTCAGCTGAAAAGTATGCAGTGACTTTTATGCTTAACGTAGCGCATTCGCTGGCCACACACACACATACACACGTAAAATGTAAATTCATCTACACGTGTGTGTGTGTGTGAGCGTGTGTTGGTTGGGTGGTGATAAAGCCATAGATATAGCTTGGCCTGCATGAGTGTGGATAATGGCGCGGCGAAAAGTCGAAACGTACACAGCACACTAACACACACACACACGCACGCACACACATATTCGCACACACACATGCGCGCACATAATAAGGTGCGATTTGTCTCGCGCATAAAACGAAATTTCCTGCAAATACACACAACGACACACACACACACACACGCACACACAGAGAGACACACTTGGCCAACAATGGTCGCTTCTGCTAGGCAGCAGAGCAAGTTGGGGCATAGAGTGTTGGGCAGCGGGGGGTGGGTGGGTGGCTGGCAGTTTCGATTGCTTTGTTGCTTGTATATGACAGCGTGTCTCTGCGTGTGTGTGTGTGAGTGTGTGGAGGACATCTTTGTAGGTTAAGGCTCATGTCAAAGCTGGCAAACTGGTGCGACAAAAGGGCGTAAGGCTTTAGGCGTGGCAAACTCGTTTGCCATAATTATTGCTTTTGTTGTTGCCTGTGTGTCTGTCTGTGTGTGCGTGTGTGTGTGTGTGTGTGGGTGCCGCATTATTATTTTAACCGGAAATGTGTGTGCTGCCCCCGGCAACCCCTTCCCGCCAAACATCACAATCAAATTTGTGAACTGCATGAACTTTTTTCTCCGTTTCTTTTTTTTTTTGTGTTTCGCTTTGGCGGAAGCTCGTGCTCTGTGCCGGCGACAACATTTAGCCAATTTTTTTTATGACAATGTCGCGCTCTCTCCCCCTCACTCTCTCTCTCTCTCTCTCTCGTTTTTTGGTGCTCTCTGCTTAACCTCAGCTGCCGACAGCGCCCACTTTTATGACAAATATTATGTTAAAGACCGAATATGCGCTACGCCATAAAAGTCAATCATTTTTCATTTCGCTTTGCGCGTCGCTGCTGACGCCGACGCGGACGTCGACGTTGCGCGCGTCTCCGTCTTGGCTCTGAGCTGTCACTCACTCTCACAACGCCATTCACACAAAAACCAAACGTCCCGCTGCCCGCTGCCCGCGCTGTGCTGCGCTGCTTGCCGTTGCCTTTGGCTGTGCTTGATTTTGCCTTTCTTCTATTTTTCTTTCTTTCATTCTTTTCTTGCTTTTCTTCTTTTTTTTTTGGCTGTGTCCGCTGGGGACATTTAATTTTTGGCGGTCATTCGTTGTGATTTTCCTTGATATGCGATATACTATTTTATGTACAGTGTATGTGTGCGTGTGTGTGTGTGTGTGCGTGTTTGTTTGTGTGTATTTGTCGCTCTCGCTGGCTGGCTAAGCGCTTGTTGTTGATATTTGGCGCGGCTTGCTTCAATTTATGTCCTGTTTGCCTTTATTGTCGAGCTTTACTTGTTCTCGTTTTCAATTTTTTTTTTCCTTCCTTTTTTTTTCATTTTTTTAAAGGACCTTTTTTTAGGGTGCGCAGCGTATTGTGGATCACATTTGTTGTGTTGTTGTATTGATAAGTTCATTTAATGGGCACGGCCTGACATGCCCTCTGCCCACACACAAACAGACACACACACACACACATACACATATATACACACACACAAATGCATGTGTGCGTGTGGCATTTGTTTGAGTGCGTTGCGCCTAATGAGTTTAATGCTTTGTTATCAGCGCTGTAATCTGCTTATGTAATATGCGGCCAAAACTTCAACATAATTGAATCACAAATTATGTCATTTTGCGTTTGAGTGTGTTTGTGTGTGTGTGTGTGAGAGAGAGAGGGAGTTTTTATATATCCACACCCACATGAAGGCCTTGGGCGCAACTTTAAACGCATTAATTGCCAGATTGTGAGAGAACGGATTGACTGGCAATTAAGCAGTGCGCAGATAACCGTTTTAATGGTACTGCTTAGCCGTTTAACATGGTATATACCCCGTGCTAGAGCGAGACAAACTGATCATAATGTAGTTAAGTTGAACTAGTTCCCAAACGACACTTGCAAGCAGTCCACTGATAACTTATTAATAATTAATGGCACTGCTTAGCCGATTGTAATACTGTTTAGCATGAGCGAGACAAAAATGGCAGAAAACTGATCTTAATGTAGTTCAGTTGAGCTTGCAAGCAGTTCACTGATAGCTTATTTAATGACACTGCTTAGCCGTTCGACTACTGCTTTGCATAGCCTAAGTCATGTGTTAGAGCGAGACAAAGAGTGATCCTAGTTGAACTGAACTAGTTCAGCCATTTGCAAGCGTAGATTTGCCAGCTTTCAGAAGCTACAAACTTTCCATAAATAAAATAGAAAATGTTAACTAAAATTAACTAACTTCATACGCTTTTCTTTTAAAGCGCTCATAAATTTGCACAAGAAACGATGCGCAAATTATTTAACGCAGCAATTGTCATAAAGCAATTACAAGCAAACCACACCTGATTGGGTTCTGTTTGTTTTTAGAGCAATTTTTTAATGAAGTGGGGGAAACACGTGCCCCGGGGCTGGGCACAACTACCAGCAGGTTCCCTCCCCCCCTCCCCTGCGATCCAGCGCCGTCAGCGTCCCCGTCTCTGGCCCATCACGATGCCTGTCAATGACGGAAGGCCACTTTCATTTTGTAGGAAAAGCAAATGAAACTTAACGGAAAAGAAAATTACATCATGCTCGTTTCAATGGGTCGACATAATATTATTTTCCTTGGTGTTTTTTTTTTTCGTTTTGCTACCCCGACCCCAAGCGCAGCACCCACTGTGTAAGCCATATCCACGTGCACAGACATACGCTGTGTATGTCTCTGTGTGTGTGTGTGTGTCTATGTGTGTGTGTGTGTGCTTCATCATCATCTTCCGGCTTGCGTCTCGTGGCTCCTTTTGCCTTCTGTCGATTTTTTATTTATTTATTTTATGCCTACGCACATACGCGCCAAGCAGTTTGACAGGTGTCGCCGACTGAGTGGCTGCCTGCCTGCCAGCCTCGCTGACTAGCTGGATGACACAGGGGGGAGGGGGGGTGTAGGGTATAGGAGGAGGTAGTGCCTGTAGCGGGCGTGGTCTGTGTGCTGTGTGCCCCGCGGTGTAGTTGGAATGAAAAATGTCGCCCTATTATTCTTTGTATTGTTTTATGCGGCATTTATACGCTTATTTTTGTTGTCTTTTAATAGACGTGGCAAAGTACACCCAAAGACAAAGGCAAAAACAAAACCAACAAACGCTGGGGCTACTTTACGTACATACATATACCCTACCCCAAACCCAGACAGACAGCCACACCCGACCCCATCATCCAGGGCCTGTGTCTGCTGGCGTTTTATCATCATCCAATCAGTAGATAAATAACACATAAAATGAGGTGCTTAATCGGGTTTGAAGTGATGAAAGTGAAACTGTGCCGAGCTCTGCCTGGCGGTTGGTTGTTTCTCTTTGTCGCCATGTCTGTGGTTGCCAGTGCCGAGGGGGCCACGTCTTTGTCTTTGGCGTAAATCTGAAGTAACAACTTTATATTTGTATATCAGTTACACACACACACACACACACTCGCACTCGCATTCGCACCTATTCGTCAGACTTAAGAGCTTGTCAATTGCGCGTGACAACATAATTCAGCATTAAATTGTACGCGTAGACAAGTAATTTGTCAACATTTATTTGCGTTAAATGCAAAACATGTATATACAATTGATTGATACGCTGCAACACACTTGCACAATTTAAATGTGGCGCGCAGTTTATCGATAGGCGAACTATCGTAACAGCTAACAGAAAGTTGGCAGCACACGCGGCAAGCAGCGTCGCGCCTATCGATTTGCCGCCACTTTCGTTATCGATAAGCCGGACAGCTGTATTGTTTTTCTTTTTGTGTGTAGGCAAATTGTACGCAAACAGTATTAAAAACGTTGTAGACTTAAGATATTAATTAGCAACAATTAATTAAATGCAAATTGCAAAAGCAGTAAAGGGAAATATATAAAACCCGCTGCCCAAGTGAAATAAACCGTTTAAAACAGTCGCGAGCAGCGCAGTCGTCTGGCCGCTGCAGCGAAGCGCAGCTTGACGAAAGTCTAAAAAGGCCAGGTAAAGGCAAAAACTATTAAAAGAAAAACTGCATAAATTAAGCATAACATTTAATTGTGTATCGTTGTGGTTTACTTTGTTTTACACTGTTCAACATGAGACTTGTTGAGCGTTTATTGATTTTGTGTTCTGTTAATTCAAGAGCCAACAACAATTGTAAATGCTTCACATAATTTGTTAGCCAAACAAACGGCTCAACTTTGACAGCTGTTATGCCTATAAATAGCGTTAAAGCTGCTTATCAGCAAGGGAGGGAGAGAGAGGGGAGGGGGCAGGTTTGATATGACGTATGCGTAAATCTGACAACTGTTGTTCTTTTATCGCTCAACGTCACTTTTCGTGCTAATGATTAACATACAAACGCCCCCGCAGCCACACCCCCCACACTAACAGAAACACGCACACACACACACACACACACAGACAGACATAATCTTCGAGCTGTTAAGTGATTCGAGTGGCCTCTTAAAGACGCAAGACGCTAATTAAGCCAATTGCCTGTTAATCAAATTGTTACGATTTGTGGCCCAATCAAGCGCGCTCAATTAGGCTAAAAGAGCGTAGCAGAAAAAAATCAATAAATGCATTGCCAATTACTTTATTCCCATTGCAGCCATGTCTCCAGCACGGAAGCAAGCCAAAGTCGATGCGCCAGGCGCGCTTTAAGCCCCAACCAAATCCATTGACGACGCAGAGCAAAGTATCAAAAATGAAACAAAAAAGTTGGCGGCACAAGCGTAAATAATTGAATTTATCAAACAAAAACAACAGGCGCACGCGGCGGACAATAAAACGCAGCGAAAGTAAATTAAAGCTAAGCGAAAGAAGCGCAGAATAAGTTGACCATGCTCGGGCGCACTCAGAAGCTGCTCCTGGGGCTGGCCATCCTGTTGCTAGTCAACGTTCTATGGGTATCCTCCAGCGAGCTGAGCAAGGTACGTTCAAAAATCCACAAAAAGAAAACTTATTAAGCAAAAAAGGAAAACAATGGGAGCGAAATCTTACGACTTTCACGTTACGTCACGTAGCAGGAAGTTGCGTTACGTTAAGGAAGCTATCATGACAACGTTACGTTTCTCAATGTGAATTAACCGTTTTATCACCTTTTTTTTATTATACAATAGCAGCGAAATCTAACGCCTGTCACGTAACGTGACGTAGCAGGAAGTTACGTTAAGTCTCAAGAAGACATGACAACGTTACATTTCTCAACTTTTTATCAGATTAAGTAAAAGTAATATAAATCAGCAAATTAAACAGTAGCAGCTAAATCTATACGACTGTCACGTAACGTGACGTAGCAGGAAGTTACGTAACGTTAAGACTAAGGAAGCTATCTATGACAACGTTACGTTTCTCAATGTGAATGAAACTTTTTATCAGATGAAATAAAAGTAATATAAATTACAAATTATCAATTGCAGCTAAATCATAACGACTGTCACGTAACGTGACGTAGCAGATAGTTACGTTAAGTTTAGACTCAGGCCATGACAACGTTACGTTTTCAATAAAAAGTCAACTTTTTATCAGATTAAATAAAAGTAATATAAATTAGCAAATTAAATAATAGCGGCTAAATCTAACGACTATCACGTAACGTGACGTAGTAAAAAGTTACGTTTAGACTCAGTAGGCTATGACAACGTTACGTTTCTCAATATAAAGTCAACTTTCTATCAGATTTTAAAAAATTATAAAAAAGAAAAATGTTGCGATTGCCTGAGACTTTTGCTTTTTTATGCAGCTGTCACGTAACGTTAAACTATTCAAACTATATATGTATAATGATATTTTCTTATGGCTTAGAAGGAGGACAAGAAAAGCTTTCAACTTTTATAAGCCAAAAGATAAAGTTCCTTAAATGAAGCTTATTTTAACTTCATGTTGCAACCATACGAAAGTGTATTGACTCGCGATTATCTCAATTATATTAAACATTATACAAATTGATAATTAAAACTCTTCTCTTCGAACAGTTTCTCTATGAGGATGACAAATATGACAAGCCGTTCTTTTGCACATACTTTAAGACCTCGATGTTTAGCATCTATTTGCTCATCATTGGCATTATTGCGCCCTGGAAGGAGTCTTGCGAGCGTCAGCATGGCAATTATGCGGTTTGTATGAACTGGAGCAGGCATATCTGCCCTGAGAATACCCTATTAATTTATGTGTTTACCCTTGCAGATGATGGAACAGCATGCCGACGAGGAGAACTACTACACAAGTCAAGCTGCTTTGGTAAGCTAAGCGAATTTTGATTTTCTTGCTGGTTCTAATCCGTTTGCATTGCAGGGCGATTCGACATTTGTGCCCATACGCGTTGCCAATCCCATCAATGGCGTGCCATCCGGCACGGAGAGCGATGATTCGAGTGGGCGCAGCGTGCGCTTCTGCAAGATGGCCGAGGTGCGCGAGATGTCGGCACATGAGGCGACAGATGCCCTGATGGCACGGCTCTCCTATGCCGCCAGCATGCGGATCAGGCGCCAGAAGACGCATCACAAGACGGCCAAAACGGCGCTGCTTTTCTGCCTGCTCTGGTTTGCGGCCAATTACTTCTCGCAGCTGGCCCTGGACATGGACGAGGAGCCGATGGTGACGCTCATTAGGTAAAGTTTCTTCAGATATCAGCCGAGGTCCAGTTAATGTTTATACTTTGCTGCTTGCAGATCCACTTCGGCCACATTGTTCACCATTTTATTGGCCGCCTTGTTTCCGTCGGCCATGGGCGATAAGCTGACGATCACGAAGCTAATTGCAGTCACCATCAGCATTGGCGGCGTTGTGGTCATCAGCATAAACGATCTGCACGACTCGAAGATGACGCGCGGCATTCTGTTGGCCCTGTTTAGTGCATTCTTTTATGCCTCGTACTTGGTGTTTGTTAAGCGAAAAAGCGACACCGAGGAGAAGGTCGACATTCCGCTCTTCTTTGGTAAACTCTTCTATACTCTCTTATATTTCTTGTTGTAAATATGATTTTTGTATTGTTTGCAGGCTTTGTTGGTCTCTGGAATCTGTTGCTGTTGTGGCCCATTTTCTTTATACTGCACTTCACCAAGATCGAAACGTTTGAGCTGCCCAGCCAGGGTCAGTTTGGCCTGCTCTTTCTGAATGGCTTCATTTGCACTGTGCTGGCGGTGGCCTTGTGGCTGTGGGGCTGTTTTCTCACCTCCTCGCTGATCGGCACGCTGACCATGTCGCTGCAAATACCGCTAACAATTGCCTTTGATGTGCTCCTCAAGCACAAGCCGTACTCATCTATGTACTGGATGGGCTCCGTGGGCTTGGTGATTGCCCTGCTGCTTGTGGTTTTGCTCATGCGCAACGATGATTCAGATCCGCTTATGAAGCTATTCAAAGTTGTATATAGAAAAATCTGTGGCTGCCATAAGCCCAGCATTGTGAGGTAAACTATATATTTAACTATAACTATTTCGTTTCTCCGAATAATACCTTGCTCTTTCTTCAGAGTCGCCGACGATGAGCAACAGGAATCTCTGATAAATAGCAGCGAATAAAGTCGGACATCGTTTCCGGAAAGGCTTTTGAAAAACGCGCTTTCTCAACATTTAAAAATTGCTCACTGCAATGCAAATCCAAACTTGGCTGTTCACGAGTTCGTTTCGAATCGTTCTTTAATGTATAGCGACAAATATATATATATATAATATACAATAATATATTGTATGTACGTAGTTGTAGTTGATATTTCGCACAACTTTCATTTCCTAATTTGGTTTTAAGTTAAGAGCTGAGAATCCTGATTGCAATTTTACGTACAATTAAGATAATATTATTTTATATTTATATTATCTTATCTTAGCATTCTGTAAATAGCTTTAGTCCTAGTTTTTATCTCTATATATGTGATAGGTCTTAAAATTTGCTGAACCTTTTTTCTTATTTAATCTAATCAAATGTTAAATGCTTTTCGTGCTCGACCTTACTATAGACATATATATATTTATAAATATATATACCCTCCATACTCAATTGTAGCATTTCAAAAGTTTTAGGTCTGATATTCCCTGTTGCATAAAACAGTTTCTTTATTATTTATATGAAGCGCGGAATCTGTTTATAAACGTATTTAAATACACATATATGTTGAAATCTTTGAAAATCTGTTATTATTTTGCAGTGAGACCCCAATTCAGTATGCTTTTTTATAAACAAAGTTAATTATAGTTGGTTATTGTTTACAATAAGCAAAAACAAATTAAATATTATTGTTAACCCGCGATAAGATTATTCCATACGTAATTAATAAAAGTGCATTGGTATGTATTCTAGCCCGCAATTAATATTCCCGTTTTACTTTTATCAAAAAAAAACAAAAACAAAAACAACACGCTAGCCAATGACAGACAAAAACGTAAGTTTAAAATAATTACATTCGCGCCCAAACTTAACATAGCTGTTAACATAAATGTTATCGATATGTTATGTTTACATTTTACAGCACTGTTATTGCCAACATTGCATGTTAAAAGTATCGATAGTACATCAACAAGAGGCAGCAGCAGGTAGTCATGTTAAATGCGCCTCTCAGTATATTTCTCGCGGTTGAGCTGAACGGACGTCTTTTGTGCGCGAAAGTTTAGTGGTGAAAAAAACTTGTAGAAAATGAAGTTCCAACTGGCTTTGTGCCTGGTCGCCATTGCGGCCGGCGTTGTGGTTGCTGATGAAAGCAAAGGACCCAAAGTGACCGACAAGGTAAGCACAGCAACCCCAGATTTACATACACACACACACATAGATTGTGTGTACCTGCGTCACTTGGTATACACATCGATACAAACAAACACATAAATCATCTGCGCTGTTTTTTTAATTTTTCATCAAGTCTATTCATGAATGTGTGTTTGTTGCGTAGGTTTTCTTTGACATCACCATTGGCGGCGAGGCGGCCGGTCGCATCGAGATCGGTTTGTTTGGCAAAACTGTGGAAAAGACCGTGAGGAACTTCAAGGAGCTGGCCGAGAAGCCGCAAGGCGAGGGGTAAGCAAAGAACGACACGCCGTTAATTGGCTAAAGCAATACACACACAAACACACGCACACGTATGCAGTTAGCTGTAAGTGTGTACACACTACTCGTATGTATTTATAGGTTAGAGCGGGAGTAGTTGCTATCAATTACGTGGCGTTTAAGTGAGAATTAGTTGACAAAAGCGAATAATCCAAATTGAATTGTTTACCAACTGCTGTGACACTAATTTGCCCATTGTGTTTGCTTCTTCTTCTACCCGAATCTGTGTGTATAGCTACAAGGGCAGCAAGTTCCATCGCATCATCAAGGACTTTATGATCCAGGGCGGAGATTTCACCAAGGGCGACGGCACCGGCGGACGCTCCATCTACGGCGAACGCTTCGAGGACGAGAACTTCAAGCTGAAGCACTATGGCGCCGGCTGGCTGAGCATGGCCAATGCTGGCAAGGACACAAACGGCTCCCAGTTCTTTATCACAACCAAGCAGACCAGCTGGCTGGATGGACGTCACGTTGTCTTTGGCAAAATCCTGTCCGGCATGGATGTGGTGCGCAAAATTGAGGCCAGCGCCACGGATGCACGCGATCGTCCCGTCAAGGATGTCGTGATTGCCGACAGTGGCACCATCCCCGTCGCCGAGCCCTTCGCCGTTTCCAAGACTGATGCCACAGATTAAGCAGAAACATAATAAAAATATACATGCGTACATATATATACATATTTTTTTTTTGCATTTTGCCAGATTCAAAGCATGTCCTTTGCAGCATAATCAATTTGTAATTAGAATTAGAGAACTCTAGAGTAGAGCAGCAATCGATTTTTCTCAACGTTCGAGTTGGGCTTGCATTTAACAATAATAATTTGTATACTGAGCAAATACTTTGGCTCCAAAACTATTCTCAAATTTGTAACGTCTAGAAATGCATTATATTTAACTATGTGATAAAAAAAAAAAAAAACTAAGAAGAGAAATTGTTTTGTGTTGGGCTTTTTTGTGTTTGTGCCGCGGTTCATTGAACTGGTTTCTTTTTTGGATGCCAAATTGCGCTCTCTGTGTGTGTGTGTGTGTGTTTGTTTGAGGGTGTATGTGTGTGTGTTTGTGTACGTTTTGTCTTTTGAACTTTTCCTGCTTCCCTTTATCGAAACCGGTTTCCAGTTGCTTCTGCACCTTTTGCAGCTGTTTTGTCGCTAATTTTTTTATTATTCTTATTTCTGTACTCTTTCACTTTGCTGCGCTGATTCTAGCTGGGTTTTTTATTTAGTAAAAAATAAATAAAAAGCTGACACAGATGCCAGCTCGAAATTCGTGTCACGTTCTTCGGTTTAGCAGCCGCTCGTAAATTTGTTATGCACATATTTATACATTTCATTTTCCAATGCCAATTACAGCCAAGTTCTAAAGAAGCCTTGCTTATCGTTGGAAAAAAGCCACAAAAAACATTTGCCAAATCAATTTGCTTATAAGCTAATCAGACTGCAATATGTCTAATAGGAAATGTAAGCTCAAGTCGAGAATTATATGAATAAGTTGCTGTTATCAGAATTTTGTCTTTTGAGCACTTATTATTTTATGTTATCAGACCCTATTAGACCCTGAATCCAATTGGAACCTATTTAAGCTTTTGCTAGAAAGCGCTATAAATCCTTTAAGTTATATTTGCTTATCAGACAATAAAGCGATCAGTTTTCCAATGGGAATGTAAAATTGTTAGTCAGAATTTTCCCTAGCTTATTTGCTTCATAACTCAATGGAAACAGACTGGAATTTTCCAACGGGAAATAAATTTAACCCTTAAATACGCTGATAACGAGCCAAAGAACTTGCTACGCATAATAAAAACCTGCACATGCCAATCAGACTGCACGTTTCCAATAAGAACATCCGACTCGTATCAAGGATTTCCATATTGAAAACTTAAATTTGGCTATTAAATGCCACAGAGTGCATCAACCTTAGCGATTCAAATGCTTCCTTATGCTTAAACTAGTTGGGAATTCTAGGAACAGCTGCACCAAAACTAAGAAAATGTTTGTACAATGCATTTTAAGTTGGAAAATTCTTTATGAGATGTGAGCAAGTGCCGAGTTGCCGCTATGAAATCTGTATTTGAAGAGTACATTAGCTATGTGGCCTGCGCCCCTTTAAACCCCCCCCTCCCCCCACTATGCCCAATGATATGCATGCAACAGCGAAGCGGAGAGCGCGAGAGAGAGAAAGAGGATCATGTGGCCCCCGAGTTCGAGTGGAGCAATTACAAATTTGCCTGTGTCAGTGCAATTGAACCCCCTTCGCATACAGACAGACACACATATCTATATAGATTTATATATACATATATATGTGCATATGTGGACTGTGTATTGTTTATGTCGGCGGCAATCTCGTGTGCCACATATGTTTCCCATACACATATACATACACATATGTACATCGAGAATAACCACAGAAATTCTGGACGCTGTCGCATTTCTAAGATTATTTGTTGCCAGCAATCAGCGCGACGAGGCCAAGCGCATGGAGTGAAGCCTACAAAACGGCAAAGGATTGCGAAATAAGAGTGAAAACTTAAGCAAAAGTAATTGCAGTTGCATATTTAAAGATTTTCAGCTGAAGAAATTAACTTAAACCGGCGCAAAATGGTGAGTTTTTGGGCGTATCTTCGAAGGGATCGGAGATCAGAAACTATATATATAAAAATACTTAATTGATAAGCGAACAAGCTGAGAAGCTGAGAAAGTTTGTTGTTGCCGATGATGTGTACCAATCAAAACGTCCAAAATAAAAACTGAACTACGAAATCCATTCAGAAAATATGTGTGCATATATGTAAATTATATATCTGCTTTTTAATGGGCTGCAAAAGATACACATACAAGCGTTCGCCAGATGAAATCATTGACAAAACATATAATAAAAGAAAGGAAAGTTTGTTCAGATTGAAACAAACAAATTGGTATAATCATGAGGAACCAAACAAATTGGTTTTATCATGAGCAACAGAGAAAAGCCAGGCAGAAGCGGAGATCTGTTGATTGCCAGCTGAGGTGAGAGGTGAGCCTCATTAAAGGGTCCAACATCTTTTACAGCAGCAAACATAAAAGTTAGAACTTTAAGAAAACGAGGCCAAGAGCAGAAGATCAAGGCGAGCTACAAATTTGCATATCTTAGTCTCTAATAAAGACGTCTCCAATAGGAGAAGTATTCAAAAGTTGGGAGCTCACCCGAATATCTATACATATCTATCCTCCTCTCAGCAGCATCATAAAGGATTAATCTGCCCAATCACGCTCTGCCTGCTGCTGCTGCTGCTGGGCAACAATTGTCGCGCTGCCAAGATACTCGTCCTGTTTCCACATGCCAGCGAAAGTCACTTTGCTGTGATGCGCACCCTGGTCGCCGAGCTGGCCGGCCGGGAGCACAATGTGAGTAAATAATGCCAGGCAGCAGCCTCTAGGAATAACTAAAGTTCACATTTCATGCCAGGTAACTGTTTACGGCAGCCACGGGCTGGGCGAGCGCCTGGAGCGCGTGGCAGAGACTGTCGTCGCGCCGGAATATGACTTCTGGAGCAACTGTAAGTGGAATGAACTGAATTTAATAAGAACAAAAACTTAGATTAACTTTTGACTTGCCGTAGTGCAACAGCATGCAGCAGCTGGCGGCAGCCTGGAGGACTTGGCCCGCTTGTCGGACAGCGAGCTGCGCAGCTCCTTGGCCCAGGTCGGCGCGCAGGCTTTGGAACACTTTCTGGCGCAGCCCACGTTGCAGGCTTTGCTGCAGCTGCCCAGCGCCGAGTTTGACTTCGATGTGATTATTGTCGACTATTTTTACACGGAGGCGCTGCTGGCGTTGGGCTATAAGCACAATAAGCCCACCATCGGCATTGTTAGCACGGATTTCGGCAATTATATGAATGCGGTGCAGGAGGCGTTGGTGCCCGTCGCCTGTTCACCCATCGATTTTGAGGCGTATACGCCGGAGCTGGGTTTCTCGGCGCGCTTGGCCATTATACGCGAATGTATTTCGCGACGCAAACAATTTCACAAGGAACACTATGCGGCACAGGAGCAATTAATGCACAAACATTTTAAAAGTAAGTTTTATGCCTATTCGGCTTGGCGGCACAATTAACTGTGAATGACAAAACTGTTCTCCAAGATGTGGCAGCACTGTCCGCAACACTTATCGATTTAACTGTGCTGCAACACTTATCGATTTCACTGTGCTGCCTATCGTTTGCGCTTATTTTGAATGTTAAATTTTAGCGTATTTAAATTCGATTTGCAGTTGCAGCCAATGTGCCGGAACTTCAGGCACATCATTTGGCTTTGTTGCTGCTGAATACTCATGTGCCCCTGTGGACGCCACGCCCGTTGGTGCAGCAAATTGTGCCCGCTGGTGGACTGCACATACGCGGACCGCGCGAATTGCCCTGGAATGTGAAGCGCTATGCGGAGGAGTCTCGGGACGGCATCATCTACATGCAGCTGGGCAATGAACAGCTCTGCGGTCAGCTGCCCAAAGAGAAGCTGCGCATACTCTTTGAGTTTATTGGGGGGCGGAAGGAGCGTTTCATTTGGACCTGCCACGATGTGACGACGCTGGAGGGTCTGCCCAAAAATGTGATGATACAGCACGGAGTGCCACAGATTGACATTTTGGCGCATCCGCGTGTGCGCGCATTTATTATGAATGGAGATCTGTTGAGCCTGCAGGAGGGCATTATGCGTCATGTGCCCATGCTGGGTTTGCCCAGCTTCCAGAATGAACGCAAGAACATGCAGTTGGCTGTTGGCCTGGGCGTCGGCCTGCAGCTGGATCAGAGCAACTTCACCAAAGCCGCTCTCGACTGGGCACTGGACGAGCTCACGACGCAACAGCACTATCAGCATGCCATTCGCGAGGTGTCCAGCGAGTTCCGGGATAGACCGTTGGGCGCCTTGGCCAACGCCATGTTCTGGGTGAACTATGTGGTGCGGCATAAGGGCGGCGCTGCGATCAGAACACGCGGCATAGATATTGCGTCGAATCATTTGCATTTATTTGATTTGTTTGTTTTTTACTTTGGTTTGGCGATTGTTATATGCGCCGTTTTGGTAGCCGTCTACTTCGGAGTAGTGTATGCCCTGCAAAGAAAACGTAACGATGCAAAATTATCAAAGTTAAGTTAGATTTTAGTTGAAAATTAATAAATCCCAATGAGAACTAATAGAGCAACAAATATGTTTAAAATGAAACGATTTAATCGATTTGAATGTGCGCCATACACAGGGCTGCAGTGAGAACGATAGTTAAACGTTCGATACAACTCTGTCAAAAAAAGTGCTGCCAAGTCTTTGGGAAACGATGGTGGCCATCTTCCTTTCTAAAGAATCGCGTTCGCACAGCAGACGTGTTTAAAACCTTTTTGAGTGGTTTAAAAGGTAATAATTGTTTTAATTTGGTCAAAACCGTATTTAAAGTGTGATGTTCAATGTGTGAATGCCGCTGCATATGAATGCAGGCCGATTAAAGCGTGTTTAAACGTGTGGCGAGCGCAGCGTGTCACACGTGGAGTCTCGAGTTGCTCAGCGGAGCAGCTAGTGCATTGAGGTTATGTTGATTTCGTAGTAAAAACAGAAACAACAGAAACCTGTGAACTGTGTGACAAGCTGCAATTTGGTGTATAAAATCCTTGTCTAATTTGTGTGTATTTTGCAGCTCCGTCAAAATGTCGACAGGTACAACTGCTACAATCCGCACCCGCAAGTTCATGACCAACCGTCTGCTTGCCAGGAAACAAATGGTCTGCGATGTGCTCCACCCGGGACTCTCGTCGGTCAACAAGACGGAGATTCGCGAGAAGCTCGCCGCCATGTACAAGGTGACACCCGATGTTGTCTTTGCATTCGGTTTCCGCACAAACTTTGGCGGTGGCCGTTCCACGGGCTTTGCTCTCATCTACGACACCCTGGACTTTGCCAAGAAGTTCGAGCCCAAATACCGTCTGGCTCGCCACGGCCTCTTCGAACAGAAGAAGCAGACACGCAAGCAGCGCAAGGAACGTCGCAACAGAATGAAGAAGGTCCGTGGTACCGCCAAGGCCAAGATCGGTACCGGCAAGAAGTAAAGCAATCCGCTAGCATCATATGATTGTGTGTGTGTGTGTTTCTGGTGGCGCGCACCGACAATTCCCAATTTAGCTGCTGGTTATGCGTTAGTCTAACTTTTATAAATTCAACGACAACAGTAAAATCAGTTGTTTACTTTTTGGAGCGGCTATTGTTTTATATGCTTAAGAAAATAAAACTCTAAAAGTAAATGCAGCCATGTCTTTGTTAGTGTAAGGCTTATGGGACACATTTTCTCATAACAAATTTAGATATTTTGCTTAATAAAAACATAAATTGCGCGTAAACAAATACAATTTGCATGTTTAGTTGTCGTGTCGGCCTTGCCAGACTTGTCAAACCGCAACACACATTTAAATGGCAACACCTTAGCTGTGCCAGTCTGGCCACATCTGGCAAGCATTTCAACCCTACTAGCAACGCTACACAAATTTATTTGCAAAAAAAAAAAAAAACCAAACCGGAAAAATATTCATATACAGAAATTGTATAAAATTGTTTTAAATGTCAATTGCTAGGCTGGCCAGCATTTCCGAGGATTATTCATAGCAGCATACCGGCAAAAGCCAGAGGCCACACAACCAGCTTCAAATGTCGAATTGTGGGGGTGTTGGTGGTGGTGGCGGCAGCACTGGCGGCAGCGGCGGCGGCGTCAGCGTCTCGGCTGGCGATTGGATTTGCCCAGATATTGAGTGAGTGCGCGTAAAGCTACAAGCGTAGAGATCTATGGCGCAGGATTTGAGTGTCCTGCATCCGGCACAACAACAACTGCATTCACCCCCTCTCCCACTTAAACTAACAGACAAATACAATAAATTGTTGTTTTGTTACTCTTATTCTTCCTCCATCCGCTCGCATTGGCGCGCGGCATTTGTGCGTGTGTCTGTGTTGCAGCTGTCGTCATTTGAACTTTGCGCGTCGCCTGCAATGCAATAAATGCGACCGCGAACGCGAAATTAGCAACAATGAAAAGCCAGACAAGGACAGGGATCGAGATCGAGGCAATGGCAGCAGCGGCGGCAGCAGCAGCAGCTCCTCCAAAAAGAAACTGGGCACAGAGATTGGCAAAGTAGCCGCGGACAAGTCGCGCGGCCTGTTCAGCGCCGAGGACTGGCAGTGCAGCAAGTGTGCCAACGTAAACTGGGCGCGACGCCAGACTTGCAACATGTGTAATGCGCCCAAATTCACGGATGTCGAGGAGCGCACAGGTGCGTACAGCTGGCTATCAATCCTTGTCTAGTTACTATCTCATCGCTTAATTCATTTGCAGGCTTTGGCGGCGGTTATAATGATCGTGGCGTAGTGGAGTACAAGGAGCGCGAGGAATCAGACAGCGAATATGATGAATTTGGGCGCCGCAAGAAACGTAAAAATAATGACAGAGGCGGCAGTGAACGCAGCGATGATGATGGGCGCGGCAGAGATGATGCGAAACGCGCTCGTCGCAGTGTTATCGAAGGGGACGAGGAGGAGGAGGATGATGAGGATGACGATGGCGATTTGTCCAAATACGATTTGTGGGGCGACAACGAAGTGACCTCAAGCAATGTGAAGAGCAGGGAGACGGACAATGGGAATAGCAACAGCAGCAGCAAGGAGAAGACAGCGCCAGCAACAGCCAGCAGTAAAAGAGCATCACGTGCCTCCACCTCGTCCATTTCCTCATCATCCTCATCAAGCTCGTCCAGTTCCAGCGACTCGTCATCAAGCTCGACATCAAGCAGCTCCAGCAGCAGCAGCCACGCTTCCAATGGCAAGCGTGACAAGAAGCGATCCGACACACGTTCCCGTTCACCCGTTCGGCGCTAGACTTTCATCAATTATAATCTCCGTTTGGAGAGATCATGCTATCATCTTGTTTTGTTTTTCTTTATTTCAAAAAACGAAGAACGAATGTTTATTTATTTTTCTAAGCCTGCGCCATTTGCCCATGACATGTATTGAACTCTACGCCGCATAAGAAAATCAATAAAATCAAATAATTTAAGAATGTGTCATTAGCTGATTTTATTGCTCGGCAGCCTTTAAATAATTAATGGAAGGTTTCATCCGATTGTTTCTGTGTAGCGGCGGCTGCTGCGTCGCGCAGCTCCTTCAGCTCTGCCAGTTCCTTGCGCGCATCCTCGATTTGCTGCTCCGTTACGGTCACGGGCACATCGCAGTCAATCTGCTCCTGTCGCACAAATAGCATTTTCTTAATGGCATCCTCCAGAAAGGGTATTTGTTGCGCCTGCAGCTCTTTGTGATAGGCTTCCAGACGCTCCTCCTTGATTTTCTCGCAGTAGATGTCTGTTAGCTTCTGCAGCGATTCCTTGCGCGTTACCCAATGGAAATGCGCTGGCGGTGGCTTATAGACCAACTCCAGCTTCTCCAAAATCCATTCGAAGCGCGGATAATCCCAGCGTCTCAGGTATTTCAGAAACTTTTTACGCTTGTCGATCAGCTCCTTTAGTCGCACTTTGATCATCTTGTCGCGTGGATGCACCTCCATGTGCGCTTGATAACGCCGTATGACTGCAGTCATTTTGGCCACTGTTTATTGAGCAGGCAATATAAAAGAGAGCTATAGTATATGGAGACCTAAGCACCAAATATGATGGATCTAGCTTCTGTCATCTCTCTCAGAATGCAAGCTTTAAGCGGAGTGACAGGCAAGGAATGATATTTCTGTTTGTTTTGCCCATAAGTTTTATGAAAATTAACTTGTACTTACGTTTCGCTTCCATGGAGCCATAGTCCTGTTCATGACGCTGCACCTCCTTGACCATTTGGTCACGATAATAACGCGTCGTCAGATTATTCCGATTGTTGCTCAGCATAAACATTGATTTGACCGTTTCGTCGGCACTGAAAAGAAATTGCAATTTAAATTGATAGAACTTCCAGCAGGTGAGAAAAACAAAAATTACTTTGCCAGCTCCTTGGAGTCCTTGTATTCCGGCAGAATCTCATTGGGATTCAGCGGTGGCAGCTGGGCCAAATCGCCGCTCTTCTCCGGCTTGATGCACGATATCTTTTCCGGTCGCACCCATTTGATTTTCAGATCTGACTTAAACGCATAGTCACGCACAAATTGGCGCGGCACGGCGTGCACTATATTTAATAGTTTATTCATAAATAATAACTTTAATGTTGCATCCAAATGCGTTTCGCTGCTAGAGGTTATATCACTTGGCCAGTGTGCACATATATACGGCAATTGAATTATTGCGGCACAGCTGACCCTAAACAGTGTGCACACACCATGGCAAAGCAAGCGAAAATGCAGCACCAGGTGTTGCTTTATTTTGTGAGTGTTGTGTTTTTTTGTGACCAGATATTGCGACAATTGTGAAATTTAAGATATTTAATTTTATTTTAAATTGGATTTGTAATATTTGACAATGGCGCACATGTCACATATGCTACCACAAGCGTCAACAACGCCAGGCGTTTCATCAGGTAGCTCGTCACGTACTATGTCTCTAATGGAGAAACAAAAGTATATCGAGGACTACGATTTTCCCTACTGCGACGAAAGCAGTAAATATGAGAAAGTGGCCAAAATAGGTCAGGGCACATTTGGGTGAGTGGCAGGGACATATGTCAGATGTATCCAAGTAAAATATGTTGCACTAACAACTGCTTTTGTTTACGCGGCAGCGAGGTGTTCAAGGCACGCGAAAAGAAGAGCAACAAAAAGTTTGTGGCCATGAAGAAGGTGCTCATGGACAATGAAAAGGAAGGCGTAAGTCCAGACTGTTCCAACTGCAATCTGGCCTCATTAACTACAGTTTTACCATGCATCTACAGTTTCCCATAACGGCCCTGCGCGAGATACGCATCTTGCAGCTGCTGAAGCACGAGAATGTCGTCAATCTCATTGAGATCTGCCGCACCAAGGCGACAGTCCACAACGGCTATAGATCCACTTTCTATTTGGTCTTTGATTTCTGTGAGCACGATTTGGCCGGTCTACTGTCCAATATGAATGTCAAATTCAGTCTGGGCGAGATCAAGAAAGTGATGCAGCAACTGCTCAATGGCCTCTACTACATACACAGCAACAAGGTAAACTATATAAATCGAAGAGCTCTTTTAAACTTTGACCCAATCGATATTTACGAACAGATTCTGCACCGCGACATGAAAGCTGCCAATGTGCTGATCACAAAACATGGCATTTTAAAGTTGGCCGATTTTGGTTTGGCCCGTGCATTTAGCATTCCAAAGAACGATTGCAAAAATCGTTATACAAATCGTGTGGTTACTTTGTGGTATCGTCCACCAGAGCTGCTGCTCGGTGACCGCAACTACGGTCCGCCAGTGGATATGTGGGGCGCTGGCTGCATTATGGCCGAAATGTGGACACGTTCGCCCATCATGCAGGGCAACACAGAGCAGCAGCAGCTGACCTTCATCTCACAATTGTGCGGCTCATTTACGCCAGACGTTTGGCCGGGCGTCGAAGAACTTGAACTGTACAAATCCATTGAGTTGCCAAAGAATCAGAAGCGACGCGTCAAGGAGCGTCTACGTCCGTATGTTAAGGATCCTACTGGCTGCGATTTGCTAGACAAACTATTGACGCTGGATCCAAAGAAACGCATCGATGCGGATACAGCACTGAATCATGACTTCTTCTGGACTGATCCCATGCCCAGTGATCTAAGCAAAATGCTTTCGCAGCATTTGCAGAGCATGTTCGAGTATTTGGCGCAGCCACGTCGCAGCAATCAGATGCGCAACTATCATCAGCAGCTGACAACGATGAATCAGAAGCCGCAGGATAATAGTATGATTGATAGAGTCTGGTAGAATTTAAGCACTATTATTATTAAGTTAGATGTGAACATATGCAATTCTAATTGACTGTATATGCAGCGATTCAAAGAAGTCTCGGATTTAAGTGTATATCAACATAAATATTTTTAAATATATTGTTAGTGCGCTGAAAAGCAAACAATTCCATACAAAACAGATGCAAATGCTTTACTTGGAAATGCTCTGATCTGCCTCCAGGTGAATGTACGACCGTGCTAGTGTGTACACACATTCAAGATTTTTGGTATTTTTTAGGCAATTGTGCACACACTTGGCGAGATGCACGTTGAGCAAAAGGTAAACAAGGCCAAAAAGGCGGAGAAAAAGCAACGACGCTGTCTGGCAATTATAAAAGCTGACTGTAATGTGTCTCAAAGTGACTCACCTACGCTCTACCTGGCCATACTCAACGTGGGACTGAGCAATGGGCTCACCGAAGAAGCGCTGCTGGCTGCGGCTGCCGCAACAGGCGGCCAAGTTTCGCAGGTGCTGATGCTGCCCTCGAAATCGTATTGTTTTCTGATGTGCACCACATTGGAGGACTCTCAGCTTGTGTACCAGGGCATGCACAATCTGGCGACCATTGGTCAGCAGGGCGCCGTTGCCTACCTCAGTTACGTGTTGCAATTGCCCAAGGATGTAGAAGAAAACGGTTGGCAAAAGACGCTGCCCAGCGGTCTTGTGCTGCTGCCCAATTTTGTCAGTGAAGCGGAGGAAACAGCTCTGCTCCAGGCAGTTGCTGTTGTTGGCCCTGCTTCTGCCTGCACGGCGGACACTACGCTGAAGCACAGGCATGTCAAGCACTTTGGCTATGAGTTTCTTTACGGCAGCAATAATGTGGATCCGCTGCAACCCCTGGAACAGCCCATTCCGACTGCATGTGATTTCTTGTGGCAGCGCTTGGCCTGCACCGAAGCGCCAGCGCTTGATACGCCCGATCAGCTGACTGTCAATGAGTATGATCCCGGACAGGGCATACCACCGCATGTGGACACACACAGCGCTTTCGTAGATCCCATACTCTCGCTCTCGCTGCAATCTGATGTGGTCATGGACTTTCGTCGCGGTCAGGAGCTTGTGCACGTGTTGTTGCCACGCCGTTCGCTCCTAGTCATGTCCGGCGAATCGCGATATGATTGGACGCACGGCATCAAGCCCAAACACATTGATGTCATACCCACGCCAGCCGGCAGCCTGACGACGCAGTCGCGCACTAAACGAACTTCACTCACCTTTAGGCGATTGCGCCGAGGACCCTGCGATTGCCAATATCCCACGCTCTGTGATACGCGTCAGACGACAGCTCCACAGGCAGTGACTGACGAGCTGGCCACGCATGCAAGTCACCTGGAGCAGCAAAATGTGCATGAAGTTTATGACAAGATTGCGGATCATTTTAGCGATACGCGTCACACTCCCTGGCCGCAAGTTGCCGAGTTCCTGAACAGCTTTGAGCCACAGTCGGTGCTGCTGGACGTGGGCTGTGGCAATGGCAAATATCTCGGCTGTAATCCCCAATTGCTGGACATCGGCTGCGATCGTTCGCTGGGTTTGCTGGGCGTTAGCAATGCGCGAGGCCGAAACGTCTTTCGTTGCGATTGTCTGCAGCTGCCGGTGCGCAGCAGCAGCATTGATGGCTGCGTCAGCATTGCGGTCATACATCATCTGGCCAGCAGGGAGCGACGGCTGACAGCGCTGCGTGAGATGGCCCGTGTGCTGCTTCCAGGCGGTCGTGCGCTCGTCTATGTCTGGGCGAAGGATCAGCGACGGAACGACAACAAATCAGCCTACTTGCGGCAGAACAAAGCCGTCAACAAGCAGCGCACCACAGAGCAGGCGCAGCGCCAGAAGCTCGCACAGCAATTGGAAAGCATGGAGCTGGATCAACAGCAGCTACAGGTGCCTGTGTCGCTGCCGGTGCACACAAATCGCACCGAGTTCCAGCAGCAGGATGTCTATGTGCCCTGGAAAACCAAAGACGAGCAGCGCACAACATTTCTGCGCTACTACCACGTCTTCGAGGAGCAGGAACTGGAGCGTTTGGTGTCGCAAGTGGAACAAGTTGTGCTTAGACGCAGCTACTATGATCAGGGCAATCATTGTGTGATCTTTGAAAGGTGCAGCAATGAAAATGTAATCTGCAAATAAACCAAAAAGATCTGGTTGAAAATATGCCTTATAAATAAAAATAAATGTATACAAAATATTTTAAAATTATATGTGTTAGTTGAATCCGTAAATTTCTTGAAAATCACATTTTAATTAGGTAATTCGTTTATTTGATTTCAAAAAATACACATCCATATATATTTTATTTAATCGCGAATTGAACGTAGACCAACTATAACTTAGTTAAGCTTAATTCTTACCCATTCAAATGGTATTTGTTTCATGTTTTTTATTGTAGCTTTGGACCATAAATTGACAATTCCTTAATAACAACATTTCGTCTTCCATTCGATAATCCAGTTTTGAAATGTTTACTCATAGTTGCGTATGGAGTTCGTATTGTATTAAAAGTGGGTTTAAGAGCTTATTTGGTAGAGTGCGCGTGTATATACATAAGAATTGTTTAAACAGAGTGTATAGTTTAAGTTAAATAGTATTAGTAGGGGATTATTCAAGCAAGTATTGCTCAGAGAATTTAAGTAACATAACTACAGGGTAAAGAACTACCTAGAGAAGAGAGCAAATGGTTTCTGCGCTGCCATCAGTTCTATAATTGATATAACTAACATATATGTTTGTGTAGGTACATCAAGTGAAACGGTTTGAAAATGCATGCTTAGACACTAAAAGGATACATAAGGAGTTCGTACATACACCTATATATATATCTATAGCTATAACTATAAAGGAGTATATATATTTTAAAATGACATCTATACATAAACGTACAAGTACAAGTAGTTTTAAAAACACTTAGAACTCATCCTGGGCACTTTCTTACTTGACAATAATTACAATATCATTATAGGAATTTAAATTTATAGACTAGTTTACAGTTTCAACGTTTCGTTTTTGGTCGTGGGTATTTGATATGTTAGCTAGTAAGTAAGTAAGTAACATTTTCGACTAGGTTCAATATATTTGTGCCTACAAGCTATTTAGTGGGTATTTCGACTATTTTCAGGGTATACGTGTATAGGCTGTTAGTGAAAATAGATACTTATAGAGGTGTATATATGTATATAAACATGTGTAGAGTGCCCTAGGTTTGGCTATAACTATTAATATGTGTGTGTATATGTATATATTATAGGTATATATCGGTATAGGAGAACAATTAGGAGTATATAACTTCATCAACAGGTTGTTAGTCTGCCTATGTCTAGGGTTAAACCAGAAATTCATCATAATATTAAAGCCTGATAGTTTACTTGTTTGTCGTTAAAGCTGATTTATCAGTTGTGTGTGTTTATAACGCCTTATAAACATCGTCTATAGTTTTTTAATGTTCATATGTGTATACTTCAGTCATTGTTGAATATACAAAGCTTTCTTGCAATATGTCGATGCCCTCTATTTGGTTTTGGTACAATAACTATACCTACGCCCTACGCTCTATATTTACTCCTACATCTACATCTACTTCTACTGCCTGAAGAGGCGTATTAATCCTCCCCAGCTTTACCGAAACACTTATTTGAGCAGCTGGCATACTTCTAACTACCTTTCCATCTGAGTCAAGGATTGGGCGTCGTGTGTGTGTGTGTGTGGGTAAGTTTGTGTGGGTAAGTTTGTGTGGGTTTTCCTGTGTCTGGTGCTTCTTCTGTGATTGGGACTGGGTATCCAGTTGCCTTGAGTGAGTGCGCTTAGATAAATGTTTCGGCTGCCATTTGTTACAAGCATTCCGCCAGCGGCGGCTTCTCAATAGGCGGCGATGGTCCCGACACGGAAACCATTGGCACGGCACCAATCTTGGGCTTGATTATCTTGAGGCCGAGGCTCAGATTTTTGGGGCTACTGTGCGGCGATGAGGAGGCCGTCGATGAGCGCTGATGCACTAGCACACGCGGCTTGGCCTCTATGGCAATGCTGGGCGTGGAGGCGGCAGAAATTGAGGACGTGGCCGTTGCGCTGGCCAGCAGCGGCACATGCACCAGTTCCTCGACTGTTTCTGCAGAATCCTGTGAGTCGTGCACAATAGCCGAGGCATCGCTGTGGATCAACGCCGATATAGAGTTGGTGTCATCGTCTTGCATATACGGCGGTGGTGCCTCCAGTGAAATGCTGCCTACTATGACATTGGCCGTGGTAATAGCAGAGGCACGCGCCAGCAAACTAGTCACAGCTGTTTTCGGATGCTTGGCGTCGTGGAGCACGGGCAGCGTTAGCAGCTCACCAGCGTTGCCGCCGCACTCTTTCATTTCAATGTCCTGGGAGGAGTTTTGCTGCTGCTGCTGGACGGAGTCATCATCTGTGCGCCACGGACGCAGACTCTTCTGCAAGCCAAATATTAATTCTCTGCTTGTGTGCTGTATAACGAGTACTTACCCTGCGTCCATTGTCGGTAATATTCTCGGCACTCTTGGCCTTGCGACAGAGCACACTCTGTGAGCCGTGGCGCCGCAGGAACTCAATGGAATCGAATCCGCGACCCTCCGACGAGACGAATATGGCCGAATTGATGCGACTGCGTGTGCAGCGCTCTGAGATCGATGTGGAACGCTCCTCCGCGAGCATGTGGATGTGCTGTAAGATAGAGATCATTAGTAAGGCATTGAATAATGAGCCAACATTTTGGAGTCTTTGCGATGAGTTCCTTACGCGGCTATTGCAGTGCAACGGTGGGTGAGCAAAGGTGCCGCCACATTCACTGCTGTCGAACTGTATTCTCAATGCAATATTGAAATAGAGAAAGAGAGAAGAGAAAGAACAGATAAGGAAAGAGGCCCAAAGAGAGGTGGAAGAAATGTCAGACATTACACACACACACACGCACAATTTCTATATCGAAGGAGTTAAGGGCTTTAATGTTGCCGCAACAATTTACTAAGCTCTATGCAAGTAAATGTCCTCTTCAGGCGATTAACAACAACAACAACAACGGCAAGCGAAAAGCGTAAAGCAACCTGCACAAAACTACAAAAGCGATACGTAAACTGAGTGTGAATTTGAATTTGTCGGCTGTGTTCTGGCTGTGCTCTGGTGAAGCGCGAGTCTAGAATTGACTCTCTAACTGTACAAGGTGTAAATTGTGTTTAGGTGCGTATTTGTATTTGGTGCTCTAAAATATTTTTCAACGCTGCAAACGGCGGGCGATCAAACGGTATACGGTTTAACGATAAACGATTAACGATTAACGTGCCCAATGTACAACAACACGAAAGTGCATGGCGTTTGGTGCAATTATCGGAATCGATAAGCGAGCGAAACGAACGAACTTAACGAAAGAATGAACGAACGAATGAACGAACGATCGCACAAAATGAACAAGCGAACGTTCGATTCGGTTTTCGTTTCTCGTTTTTCGTTTTTCGGTTGGCGTTTCGAAAAGCACTTACGCTGGCCGGTTCACTGTAGTTGCTGTGATTGAGCATGGACGATTCGGTGTGTATGGTATCGCTGGCGACCATGCTGTGATATTTCTGCAGCTGCAGCGTGGACGAGCCGCGACTCTCGCGCGATCCATCCCGGCTGCGATCGGCGCACGAATACTGTCGCCGGTACTGTCGACGCCGGCGTCCAACATTGGCCGCCGCAGATGTGGAGCTGCCGACTCCAGATCCGATGAGTGGTGCGCCAATGTTGATGCCGACACCGGCATTGCCGACGGCAGCTGTGCCGTAATCAGCATATGCCAACGGTCTAGACGGCAACGGAGGCGGGCGAAAGTAACTGGGATCATAGCTGAACTGTCGCCGTCGCCACTGATCGTATTGCCGATAGTGGCTGAAGAGGCGCCGTCGGCGCAATATCAATTGCTTCTTGGCCTCGAGCACCTCGTTCTCCTCGACAAAGGTGCGCTCCTGCGAGTTCTTTAGTATGCTGCGCTGTTGCGCAAACCGACGCTGCTTGGCATGGCTGTTGACCGAGAGGGGCAGCAGGCGCTGCGGCGGCGGCGGCGGCGGCTCTCGTTGCAGCAGCTGCTCATCCTCGGCTGGCGGGCAGCCGTTATCTCTGGCATCCGTATCTGTATTCACATCCGCATCCCTATCGGGCACAGCGCTATCTATGCTATCCACATGATCCAGCACATGGGCGCCCACAATGGACTGATTGTCGACGCTGGGTCCGCGCACATAGGTATTGATGGGCGTGCCATGGCTATGGCTAACGGCCGCTGTGGGCGTGACCGGTTCACGATGCACTGGTTGCTAGCTCTCCACGTCCGCCTTGTGCAGCAGCGCAAACTGGCAGCCGCAATCGCGCTCCAGCTCCCGGCGCGGATACTGAAAGCAGCGATCAAAGATGCCGCAGCCCTCGCAGCGGGGCAAGCACTGAGTGCAGCGATAAACACGAGAAATAGAGAGAGAGAGAAAGAGAAGAGAGAGAGAGAGAGAGAAAGAGAGAGCGGCAGCGGGCGAGAGCAAGAGCAGGCGACAGCGATTTTTGGGGTGGAATTAAGGAACTTTTGTCAGTGATTTTTATTGAAAGCTCGACACCTCAACAAAGCTCAACAAAAGCTAATAACCAAAACCGCTAAACTAATTACGAAATATGTATAGGAAATGCAGATGGGGGTTGTCTTGAAAATGGTTTAATTTTTTTTTTTTTAGATGTTTCCATGCTCGAAACCATCAAACATATACAAATGGATCAATGGATCGATGGATCAATGGAACTGGTTGGGTCAACCGCCTGGGTGCAGTTCTAAATGTGACTATATGTATATGGAAATTGGCTTGGAGAAAGTTGAAGTACGTTTCTAAGAAGAAGAAGAAGGCGATAAAAAATATCTTCGGTGCGCACCGAAGCGTTTGTACTCTAACAAAAACTTCCAGAGAGCGTCAGTTTTTGATAGAGTATCATGTTGAAGTTCTACAAAATGAGGCAAAGCGAAATCATAGAAAACTAGAAAAAGCTTTGTTCTTTAGCAAATTATAGTTAAGTAGAAAAGTTAAAGCGTTAGCTAATAGAATCTTACGTAGCCCGAAATTAGTTATAATGCAGACGGAAACTATTCTGAACCCGAAGTAATTCAGTTAGCACAAAAGTATGCTATAGAAAATGAAATTATTCTGGCATATCGTCCAGATATCCGAATAATATCTGACATAGCGCTGAAACAGACAACTATATACAATATATACCCCCAAAGAGAGAGTTTTTAAAGAGATAGAAATGGTTTTCGATAGAGCGGGGGCTGCGGGGCGGGCTGTGTGCACTGGTTGAAGAAAATTGTGCAAATTGTTTCATTAAAATTCAAATAGTATTTACTTGACTTTTATTTGCAGAAAGCTAATGAAATGCAAAACAAAAACTAAAATATATTGTTCGTTTGCAGTAAGTAATTGAGAAATTAAATATTTTTTGAATACCTTGACAAAGAAATCGGGGTGTAGGTTCTATAAATAAAGCGTAACAGAAATGAAACATAGTTAAAGTTCAATTCGCGCTCATTAAACAAATTACATAATAATTAACCCCTTTAGCCCAGCGAGTTGCGCCGCTTAACCCCAACAAGCCCCCATTAAAGTCTCGATCATCCCACCCCAGAATGGAGGAATATCTCCAATACAATTCCTACCTGATGCGAGTGCTGGCCATTGCAGCCGCTGGCGCTGCAGACGCCTGTGCCGGGCACCTTGAGCTGCTCGTGCTTGTAGTCCGGCTGATAGGGCAGCAGCATACGGATCTTGCCCCAGCGATTGAAGAAGAGCGCAATGGCGCCCGCCCAGACCATCAGGACGATGAGCACAATGCCAATCTCTACGCCACGTATCTGGAAAATCAAGTGGAATACAAAAATGTTATCTACAGTATAAAGGTATGAACGTTATGAATGCCTAAAAGATTGAAATTAAGTATGCACTTTTATATAGATTATAGATTATTCAGATGCGGACTTACCGTTGGCAGCTCCCGCGCAGTTCTGTGCGTCAGCGTATTGGTGGCCGTGGAGGTGACATCGTCGGCAAAGGTGCTGCCATTGCCGGAGCCATTGCGACCATAGATGCCCGGCGGAAAGTCGTGCTGTGATGTGTTCTTGGGCAGATCTATGGGCGGGAGAAAGCACGGATTACATAAGGAAAATGACATATATTAAGCTCGAGCTGTGGACTTACCGAGAGTGCGAAATTTAATCTGGCCGCGACTGCGATATTTTTTGCCCATCCAAATGGCTGTGACAGATAGGGAATATTGTGTGCTGGGCAGCAGACGGTCCAGGACAATGGCCTCGCTGTTGCCGGCAACGTCCTGTACAACCCTGTAACTTAAATTAATTCAATTACCACTCTCGAACGGCAACTAACTGTGACAAGATGTGTGTGTATATATATATATATATATGTGTGTGTGTGTGCAGCTAATTGCGCAAACTACAATAAATGGTTAGCTGCGAGCAGACGTGAAATATGAGGCCAGGTCCGTGGCTCGTAATTACAGCATGGGCCCAATATTTCACTTTGTCACTTTGCCAGGCAGTTAGCCAAACATGTCCTAGATTTTCCCGCAATTGAGCTCGTATTACGCCTCCATATACATAGCTGGACTTATACACATATATACATATATATATTGTATATATCTAAGCTAACAAGTGCGTGGCCAGGCAAAGCCTAGACTTCTGGCCTTTGGTGCGATGTCTCCTGTTACAGTGTTACAGCCGCTACACAACGGCCTGACAAATGATTCATTATTCATGCATAACATACAGTTACAGTTACATTCATGCACTCACACACACACAGACACACACACATACGGAACGTCGCAATGGGCCCCAATGGAATCGCCTTTTGTTGCCAGCAGCCATAACAAAAACAAAGAGAGAGCAAAAAAAACTAGCGGCAAGTGTGTAAATAATTAAACTACAAACGACTAGCAAATACCCTATTGAAAAAAAACGAAAACTAAATATATAATTATCATACACTTTTTTAGAGTTTAGCTCAGAGAAATCGTTTTGATTTTAAAGTCGAATTCACATCCTAGACTTTTATTATTAAACAGCATAGTTTTATTGACCATATTATCCTTTCCTTTCACTTGTCCTTTGCCCATCAATTATTTAGCTAATCAAATAGTTTAAAGTTCTTTGGTTTGAGTTAACGTATAATTATTATTGCCTTATTATATTTTTTATATTCTTTCAATAATTATATGTATTTACCATATTTGAAGGTTGTTCTGTGTTTGAAACTTGTAAAAAGTCCGAGCAGGAAATGCATATAATTATATACAAGAACTATAAGTTGGGATTTAGTTTATAGGAATTATAAACAACTTTAAAAGTAAGTAGAAAAAGTTTTTAATGCTCGACATTGTGTTGAGAACTGTTCGTTCTTGCTAAATACAATTTTTGCTTTTCTATACTAACTACGCCTTAAGTCAGAGCTGCTCAATCATTAAGTAATTTTAGTTTAATTAAAGCGTGCCGTATATGATTTATTATCTTCTTCCCATGCGCTTTGCCTCTCTGTATCCCCCACAGATCTCTTGGGCCCATCATTCGATTCGACTTAATAATCTGCTTCTAGTTTCTTTTCTCTAAACACGTTGCGTCACATTTCCAGATGTTGCCTTTATAATTTCCATAAATGTATGCAGCAAAGTTTTGCCAAAACGAGCCGCACTTGTCTGTTTGTACGTGACACTACCCTGTATATTCCCCTGGCTGGCTATCAAATTAAATAAAGATGCATGTCGTTTGTTTTTATATAGCTGATATGCCCCATGCATTACTTAAGTGCCACAAAATTGTTTTTGGGACCGCTTTATGATAACTTTATGCAGCCAAATAAGGCAACATATGTGTCTAAAGTTTTTGTCTTCTGTAAGTTAACACCAAATGTCGAGAGAGAGGGAGAGAGAGAGAGGGGGGGGGGTAGAGAGGTCAACGGTTCGGATCCACCGCTAACCGCAATTTGCACGCACACCAAAACCGTTTTGGTGGTTTTTCTGGTTTAGTCGCTCGCATTAGCAATGCAGATGAATTTAGCGCTGGGGAATTGAATTTTCATATGGGCCCAATGCACAAAAGTAGCTGGGCTCAAATTGTTCCCAATTTCGTGTTTGATTCTTTGTTGCGTTCCCTTACCAATAATCCGCCCAAATAACCGTTAGTTGATTTAGCCTTTTTCCTTTCTCCTTTCTCCTTTTTTTTTTTGTTCAGGTTCCAGGCCAATGGATTTCCGGCGCCGTTGAATAAACAATCGCGCCTCGCTTACAATTGGCCCCTTTCGAAAATGTTGTGTCCATTACTCAAACTCCGAATTGAAAATGCAAGCTATGTACATGCGCTATATGTGTATGTGTATACACACACACACACACACGTGTGTGTGGAAAACATTTTGCTTGGCATTTTTAATAACTCATGTTGAACATTGTGCGGGTTTTGGGTTTTATGTTGTTGGTTTTGTTTTTAGCATAAGCTGCACAGCTCTCATATTTTCTACAATTTTGCGACACACAACTTTAACACACACACACACACATACAAATGCACCCACTGTGTGTGGCATGAAAAGTTGTGGTTGCATATAGTATATACATTATATGTGCTTTTTTAAGCCCGAAACTTCTGTCCAATCAGGCTAAAACTTTATTGCCCTCCGGGGCGCATATTCAACTAATTTTAAATCTGTTTCGATTTGCTGGAAATTTTTTTAAGCAGCTTACAAAAATGACTTTAGATTGACAAGCACGGCACAGGCTGGACACAGGTTCGAGTCCTGCAACCACCTTCTCTGGGCTCTCAACCAGGATAATAATAAAAGTGAAAGTTAACAAGTAAAAAAAAACTTAAATATTTTCATACACTTCCGAGCTAACTAAAGAAAAAACCCAACAAGAGCTCTCTGAAAACTTGAAATGGCTCCAAGCGTGGCCGCTCCCCGATTTTATCCGCTTCTAAATGCCAAACTAACTGACTAAGTTGATAAAAGTTTTTGTGTCGTTTAAGCGCAAATATAATCAAAAAAAAATAGTTGATTAAGTATACGTCATGTTGTGCGGCAGACAGGAAAATTACCACCTGCGCTCGCTTAGCTTAGTTTGAAATGCAAATTTCAAAAATTATATGCATGATAATATCCAAACCAATTAACCGATTGAAAAGAATAAAGCGAAACAAAATGTTAAGTGGAAGTAGCCCGAAACGGAAGTGCAAATTGTGTAGCACACTTAGCGGGGCCTTGACTCTTGGCCTTTTCCACGTAACGCTTGTAATTAGGAGCTGTCAGCTGGCAAATGCTCGAAATATGCTAAATAAATGCTGCTAACAAATTCTTTGATATTTGAATTGCATATAGTTCATATGGTATATTGTGAATATATTTCCGTATTGATTGGAAAATAGCAATCTATGCAGCGGAATGGTCGGTCGGTAATTGTTATTAATTATTATTGTTATTGATGGCGCTTGACAATTTGAACTAGATATCCTTTGCCAGGCGACAGGCCATGGCACACATATGCATATGTACATACACTCGGAGAAAATCTAGTGCGGTATATATAAGTTAGAAATTGCCGCACTTAAGCATGATATTTTTATTCCATAAGCTCTTTTTAAGGCCAAAAATCGTTGTGCTAAATTTAAGAATTGTTTTTGAGCATTCCAATTTCTTTATAAAAATTATCTATTTGAATTTAAGTTGGTTTTTTTTCGTATAACAATCAGCTTTGTTAAAAATCCGGGATATTCAACACTTCTTTATCTCAGGAACTACGTTTATAATAGTCTTAAGAGCATGGTTTTTCTCTCAGTGTACACATATGTTATATACACATTTATCTATTTTGTAAAGCCACTAGGAAAGGCATGCAACTAGAGATATGTAATTTCTGTCTACGCGTCTAGCACACGGGCGTATATACACACATACATATATTTAAATGTATTTGTGTGTGTGGGGGGGGGGCTAGTCCCATTGGGGGAGGGACTACTAGCAGGTTATAGACCCATTCAGCGAGTCGAGTCATCGTCAACGTGTCTATGTACTAATCATACATTATTCATCAGCACAATTTTACTCGAAAAACGGCTGGAAGATACCCCCCCCCCCATCCACAGCCCCCCTGAGTAGCCCCCCTCTAATAAGTGCGAGCACTAAAAATCGATAGTAAAGAAAAACACAAAAATTAAAAAAACAAACCAACTTATAAATAATGTCCAGCCATGAGAATTGTAGATAAGACAATAACGAAAAAACAATGAAATGAAACGTAATAAAATTTTGATATAGGCGTGAACTTTATGAAACAATAAGAAACAATAACAATAAGAACAACATGGGGCATAAAAGACAACACGCGCATGCAACCCAACACACACACACACACACACACACGCAACAGCAGCTATTAAATTGAAAACACCTTGAACAACAACAACAACAACTGAGACAAAAGGAGGCAGGGCAGGACAACAGCAACAGCCTGCCTAACGGCATTGCAGCCGCAGTCAAAAAGTCACAAAAGCCAAGCACTTAACTTATTACACGGCATTCCAATGTCCTTCCAACATTTGACGTGTCCCGTTACTGCCCCTCCCCCGTCTCCCCATCCCCACAAGCCAGCCACGTCTCGAGCACAAGCGGAAGTCCTTAGTTTGCAGTCGTTAGCAGAGTCCTTCCTGGTCGCAGTTCGACTTCTACTCGAAATATGCAACGCCACTTGAATTGGATATTCTATTTTTTTTTCCTTTTCTTTTGTAGACGAGAGAAATCGCAGTAAAAGGAGAAGGTAGTAAAGAGAGAGAGAGAGAGAGAGGGAGAGAGGGAGGCACAATGTGGAGCAGCCGCAGCTGGCGGCTAGAACAGAAAATATTACAATTACAAGCATGTTTTGTTCTACCTCGCATTTTCCTCGCACTTTCCTGCTTCTATGCAGCCGTTTATACGCTTTCTCGCCGCGTGCCTGCAGTTCAATACACTGAGAGAAAATGGAATGGATGCCAAAGCAATCTCTCTTACAGCTGACAATAAAAGTATTTTATTGGGCATTTAATATGGTTTAGCTAATTTTGACCAATGTCTATATGGGATATTTGAGGGTCAAACCATGAACAAAATGCCAAATCTCGTGAAAATCGGTTGAGATTTGACCGAGTTATGGGGGTGGGAAATTTTGACCTATGTCTAAATATATAGGATATTTGAGAGTACCATTATTACATGAATTTCGACAAAAAAATTATGTTGCCAAATTTAGATGCACGATTGATCTAGATGCCAAACAATGAATAAAGAGCCAAACCTCGTGAAAATCGGATGAGATTTGACCGAGTTATGGGGGTGGGAAATTTCGACATGTGTCTATATAGGATATTTGAGGGTACCATTATTACATGAATTTCGACCAAAAATAATGTTGCCAGATTTAGATGCACGATTGAGGGCAAACCATGAACAAAATGCCAAACTTTGTGAAAATCGGATGAGATTTGACCGAGTTATGGGGGTGGGAAATTTAAACCTATGTCTACATAGGATATTTGAGGGTACAATTTTCACATGAATTTCGACCAAAACAAATGTTGCCAGATTTAGATGCACGATTGATCTAAAGGGCAAACCATGAACAAAATGCCAAACTTTGTGAAAATCGGATGAGATTTGACCGAGTTATGGGAGTGGGAAATTTTGACATGTGTCCATATAGTATATTTGAGGGTACCATTATTCCATGATTTTCGATCAGAAATAATGTTGCCAGATTTAGGTGCACGATTGATCTAGAGGCCAAACCATGAACAAAATGCCAAACCTCGTGAAAATCGGATGAGATTTGACCGAGTTATGGGGGTGGGAAATTTAGACCTACGTCTACATATATAGGATATTTGAGAGTACCATTATTACATGAATTTCGACCAAAAATAATGTTGACAGATTTAGATGAACGATTGATCTAGAGGCCAAGCCATGAACAAAGAGCCAAACCTTGTGAAAATCAGATGAGATTTGACCGAGTTATGGGGGTGGGAAATTTTGACATATGTCTATTACAGCGAGTATAACCCGGCCTTGCCCGTCGCACATTTAAAATAATTTACCTTTCTTCCAAACAATAAATTCTTATCAAGTTATTTATATAGCACCCTTTGTTTTGGTATTTACATTATTTTAAAATTCATTGAAATTTTCGCTCAGTGTACAATAACTTGGAAAACTTCAAGTACACGCGGCTTTTGTTTTTCTTTTTGGGCTTTGCCTTTAGACGCGGTCATTTTGGCTTTAACTTTGTATTTGCTGTTGTGGCCTGAACTCCCCTCCAGCGCGAGCCCTTAACTCGAGTCGTTATTTAGCTCAGGGCCATAGCACGCACACACACACACACACACGCACACACACACAAACTCAAACAAACACACACAAAGTACACACACAGACACAAAACTTTGAGCCTGTCAATTGCATAAAATATTGTAAAGCCAGCGACGCCTTTTTGCATAATTGCAGCAACTCTTTGAACTGCTTAAAAGGGCATGTTGTCTTTGTGTTTGACTGCGTATCTGTGTGTGTGTGTGTGTGTGTGTGTGTGTGCGCATCTGTGTGTGGGTATAATTAATTTGTATAATGCCAGAGGTACCTACCTGTCATCTGTGGGCTTATAGGTCACAATGTATTTCTCAATGGGATGCGCCTTTAGATCAATCTGCGTTTGCCACGAGACACGCACTGCGGTGGGCGTTAAAAATGTTACGGTTATATTTTCCGGCGTAGCTGGTATTGTACCTATAAAAGAGTACAATTATAGATATAGAGATAGCTAAAGGGCAGACAGAGCTACGCACAGATAAGCTTTGAATAACATATGCCTTTGTCATAGATACTCATCGTACGCATAGCAAAAAATAGACATACTCAAAAGTACGCATTCAATAAAAGTACTAAAATGCTTAACTTAAGATCAAATTGTTTTGGAATTTAGGCATAAAATATAATAAAAATATTGTAATGTTCTTGAAAATAAGAAAGCATGAACTAACGAATGAATCAGTTTCAGGAACCAAACATTAACACGAGGAACTGGTTCGAAACGTCCAAAAAAAACTACTAAATATTTTGTTGAGTGTTCATGTTAAATTGCAGCCAGAGCTACGCATAACATATACGTTTGTCTGTGGTATAGATACTCATTGTACGCATCGCAAAAATTAGACATACTCAAAAGTACGCACTCAATAAAATACACAAAATATAATGAAAATATAATAATGTGGTTTGAAAGAAGAAAATGTGAACTAATAAATAAACCAGGTGCAAATTCTAGAGCTCAGCTTTAACTCAGTTCGTTTTTAGGCCAATTTTTACTTGATCTATATGCATTTTCTTTGGGTGTATACTCACCAGCCAGACAGGTATTGACCAACAGGACGGCAATGAACACAAACATTGCGCTGCAAATTGCTTCAATAGTTTCAATTTCAGTTGCTGTTGATGAACGTTGATAATTTTGTTGTTGCTGTTGCTGTTGTTGTCCTGGAAAATGGCGAATTTGCTAAGGCTTCCGCTTGGTAGCTCGCATTCGTTGTGGTTTTAGTCTAGTTCTATTTTGTAGCTTTTAGTTTGTGGGTTTGTTTGAATAAAAAGCTAACTAAAACATAAAAATCAGTCTTGCTTTTTGTCGTTTTGCTGCTTTCAGTTGTTGCCTTCTCGTTGTTTCGCTTTATCCTATTGTCCTGGCCAATTAGGCATTGTAATTGTTGTAATTGTTGTTGTTGTTGTTGTTGTTGTCACCTGCGGCTAATTTGTGTGTTTTTGCGTTTGTTTCAACTGTAACTTGAACTTTAGTTGGCCTTTTTTGTCGTTGTTTATATGTTTGAATTTATGCGTTTTTATTTTTATAGCACACTTTTATGGGCTTTTTGTGTGTGGCGCTGTGTCTGTGTGTGTGTGTGTGTGCGCGTTGTCTTGAATCATCAGAGGTGAAAGGTGCTTATCTATATATGTATATATATATATATATATATTTTTTTTTTGTTCTTATTGTTTCGTGCTACAATTGAGTAAAATTATTCACATTGCGTTTGCTTTTGTTTTTTGTTTATTTCCCTTGCCGCTGTTCAATGTCATTTGTTGTTGTTGTTGTTGTTGTTGTTGCTTTTGTGGTTTTTATATTTTATATAAAATCAATAAAAAGCTAGAAACGACAGTCGTTGATTTCGGTTGTGGAAAAACTTTTAGTTGAGTGTTTACATTTACTTATGGTTTTATCAGCTTTTCGTTTTAGAAATTTACGTTTCGTTTTTCCAATTTACGTGCCGTTTTGGCCAATTCGTTGAAATGAATTCAATGAGACGGCGACGGCGCTGCGGGCCGCCCAACTGCCACCTGTCGTCGCCGTCCTGCGCGTCCAAAGTTCAGTTCGTCTTGTTGTTGTTGTCGTTGTTGTTGTTGCTGCTGGTTGTTGTTGAATTTGATGCATTGCGCATTTTGTTAACAATTTTTGGCTTAATTGCCAAAGCATTTGCGCCTCTTGTTGCGCTTTTTTCCTTTGCTTTTCTCTTGCTTTCTGTTTCTTATTTAATTTTGTGTTTATTTTGCGTCCGTTTCGGGCGCGTTGTCGTTAATTATTGTTGTTGTTGTTGTTTTTGTGGCCTGCGGCTGCAATAAATCAAAGTTTTTGGATTATTAATGGGCGTCGCAGTAAACGTAATGCCAAACGTATTAGTGAAATTGTTTTTCATTTACATACATTATAATTAGCCCACCGAAAAGGATAACAACTGCAAAAGTACAGTGGAAGCTTCAACTAACGGACACTTTGCTCCGACTCAAGCTGCTTCTTTAAATCAAGCCAAGCCAAGGCGGCAAATCTTTAAGCAGCACGTGCAAATGTTTTTCCCAAAGGAGGCTTTACTGTACATATTATGTCTATATATATCTAACATGCTTTACTTTCATTTTCATTACGGAAATTGAAGCCAAACAAAGTGCTGCATACTTTCAGGCCCGCATTGCGTATACGCCACGCATAACACGCAGTTGCGCACACACACACACACACGCGCACACACACACACACCTATCTAATGTGCTTTTCTAATACATCATTTCATTTCATATTCATTTCACGTTGAATTCGAAATGCTTGCATTAACACGCAATAGCATTAGCATAGCATTCGACCATGCGTGAATGTTCCGAATAGTATTCATTGATATTTACAGACGTTTGTGTTCTGTGCCCAGCCCCTCGAACATTTTTACGAATCCTTGTCTGTCCATGACTTTCATTGTTAAGTAAACACATCTTTTCGAACGCTTCAATAACAGTTGCGAGTGCCCATTACATATGTATAAACAAATGGATACACAATTGTTCTACAAATTGTAATAAACAAAGACTGAAACTGAAAGACTTTCAAGTTAATAAATAAGAACTGCGCTCGTACCCAGGAATTTAAATAAAATATTTTCGTTTATAAAAACTCAAAGAAAATATCTTTTAGCAAAGAGTCAAGGAAACAAAAGCTAAAATAAAAATAATGTAACCTTGTTGTCTATAATAAATACAAGTTGACGCCAATTAAAGCAGTTCATTTCGAATTCTCAAACAGTTTAAGCGCAGACAAAGTTAACTGCTTGACGAAGCATTGTAATTATCTGCTAACGAATAACATGAATTAAATTCCACGAATGTGAGCTAAGCCGCTTTTAATGTATATGCTGGCTAAGCCAGTTTAAGCTCTAAGTCCAAGATATTCACATGTTAAGAAAACATTCCCAACTGAATCCGTAACGGAATAATTCATGAAGGTGAATCGAGAGTGGAGGGTATGGAAAAAATCAGGCCACATGGAATATTGATACATTTAAGTTGGTTAAGTAGCTTAAGTGCGGTTGGATATAACGTCTCACTTTGATTGAATCTCGTGGCATGAGCTGCAAGTTGTGTCCAGGGATTTACGGGCGCACGTATGTAATGACGGACTATTTACCTGCCAGTGTGTATGTGTGTGTGTGTGTTTACCTGTACGTGGCATCATTAAACTGTCACACGACGTTTAAAGCCAGCGGACGTTTCGCTCGAAAGGGCAAAGTTAATTGATGCAATGGCAAATTAGTTTACTTTGGTAAATTGTGAGAGCGCTCAACTAAATGATTTGACATGGAAGACAGAACTTTGGAATTTTGTATGCTTATTATAATGCAGTTTTAGTATAATTCAGGCACACAAAAATCTTCAGTGTGATGTCACTGTCCATCACGACGATGTCCATAAATTATGTTCACAAGCTGTGGAATGATTATTAAATTTGGTAGCACACACGCCTTGGCATGTTATAAAACTCAACGGAATGTTTAATTTAAGTGAGCGCACAATTTGTACTCGCTATTTGAATGTTAATTTTCAAAGTAAATTTCATTTGACACACCAAAATTAAAAAAAAAAAAAACCATGAGTATTTAAGTCGAGGACGCGCAACTAGAAGATTCTCTAGACACAAAAAAAAAATACATATGTATATATATATTTTTATACTCAAACAAACTCACACGCAGCGCATTTAATGGAAAATTTATTCCTGAGTTACTTCTGTGTTTATTCTTCGACTGTTGTTGTTTAATTTCTAGGGCATATGTACTATGTTTGTACATAGCAAAAGTTAAGGGTATTCCTTAAAAATGTGGGCCTTTACGTTTCAAAGAAGAAGCATTAAAAAAGTAAATGTATGTGAAAACTGACTCAAAAAACTTCTGTATTTATTCTTCGACTGTTGTTTAATTTCTAAGGCATATGTACTACATATGTTTGTACATAGCAAAAGTTAAGGGTATTCCTTAAAAACGTGGGCATTTCCGTTTTCCAACAGGGAGTTCAAAGAAGAAGCATCAAAAAAGGAAAATATTTGTGAAAATCCGACTCAAAAACTTATGTGTTTATTCTTCGACTGTTGTTTAATTTTTAGGGCATATGTATTATAGGTGTATGCAGCTAAAGTTAAGGGTATTCCTTAAAAATGTGGGGTGCTCCATTTGCCAACACGGAGTTCAAAGAAGCATCAAAAATATGTTTGTGAAAACTGACTCAAAAAACGTATGCACTCTACAGGATGCAGTATGCACTCATTGAAACATGCTTCTGCCTGTCAAATGCATTTGCACAACTTCATGATACCCTCTTTTTTTTACCCACTTTCGAGTACACGGTATAAAAAGAACTGTGATGCTTGCTGGTGACGTGCCGTGAAAATATTTCCAACTCTATGACGCTGGTGACGCACTGCGAGACTATTTTCTGCTCTTAGTGTGGGTGTGTTTGTGTGTGTGTGTGTGTGTGAGTGTTTGTGTGTGTGTGCTGCCACATGCACTCCTCATACAATGGGTGAAAACAAGTAGGTGAAAGCAGTTATCGTAAAATTAAAATGGCGGCTAGTACGCGCTGTCGCCGCTGACGTCGTCGTCGTCGTCGTCGCAACTGTTAATTATGGCGACAATACATGCACGCACACCAGCGCAAGCTTCACACACATACACACACACACACATTTATATATATACGGCAGCCCTTTCACTTGCATGTCTATTGCTTTGACTGAGTACGCCATCGAGTTTGTATGTGTGTGTGTGTGTGTGTGTGTGTTTGAGAGTGTGCCCGTTTGTTATTCTCGTTTTTTGTTTTTATTGCACACGTTGCGACTTCGGCTTATTGAGGACTTTTGGCATTTTCCTGATCAACTTGGTGTTTGTGTTATATTTGTTATTGTTGTATATGTTTTTGGTGTGCGTTTCTTATTTTTTTTTGTAGCCAGTGAACAGACAATAAATCAATCAGCTGTGTTAACATCAAATTGCGGACCCCAGACAATTCCCGCTCTGCGTGTGTCTGCCTGTGTGTGTGTGTGTGTGTGTGTGGGCGCCTGGTGGCGTGCTCTTAATAAAAAAAGGTCAGCTTAGCCGCGGGCTAACTCAAAAGGTTTGTGTTCAGTGTTAAACCAAATTCAGCTACAACTTCAGCTACAACCGCTCTCTGTTAGTGTGTGTGTGTGTGTGTGTGTGTGTGTGCTCACTGAGAGAAACAGATACTGAGCTTTCGCTACATTAAAACCTAAATGAATGACAAGATTTAAGGCTTAAGCTGTCTGCGCTGAGGTCAAATTTAAGAGCATGCCGAGCACATTGACTGTCCTTGACTGCTTGAGAGCTGCCCAAGCTGAATTAATGCAAATTATATGCACATGTAAACGGCTTTCTCTGCTGCATTAATTGCAGCTTTTATGTTAGTTCTGAGAATTAAATTTAATTTGCGACGCTTTGTGCACTTGTCTTCCGTTTTCTTTGTCCTTATCTTTCGACATTAACCCCCCCTTTTGCTCTGTGTATTGTTGTAAACTGGTGTAGAGAGCCACACACACAAAAAATGCTATTATTTGCTGGGCTGCTCGTAAAAACAAAAGCACTTGCCTCAAATTCAGCGCCCAAAAGCGCGCTTCAGCTGTGTGCGTATATTTGTCTTTGTTATGTATTGTGTTTGTGCGTGTGTGCGCGTGAGTGTGTATGTGCCTTGGCCATGCACTTTAAGCTGAGCTGCTGCTGAAAATTTGTTAGTTTCCCAACCCTGAACAATTCCCTAACGGCAACTATGCGACATATTGTTGTTTTTGTAGTAGGTCCCGTTCATTGTTGGCTGCTGCTGCTCGCTGCCAGCGCATTCCTCTCCCCTGCCGCTCCCTTTGGAATTTCGAAAGTGTGTCGCCTGCCAGTGTGTACATACATATAGATTCGTGTTGTCATAGGTTCTTAGCTGCACAGCGCGTACATAGAGTATTTTTGTATGGGTATGTGTTGGTATGTGTGTAGCGTGCTGGCAGCTTGAACTGATTTCACTGCGTGCAATTTACTTCGCCGCTGCTTGAGGCCAAAAATAACATAAATTGTATAAATAAATTGCCACATTTCAACATTTCCACATGTGCAGCAAGCAACAGAACAGCAGCCGCAACGCACGCAACAATGCGGCTGCGGCGGCTGCGGCGACGGCTGCGACAAGCGGCGAGTTGATTTGTAAATTGAGAAGAAAAACAAAAATCATTTGTGCGGCCATTGCCTTGCTTAGCCAGGCGAATTTAAATTTGAATTGAACCGTAGCTAAACTTTTGTGTGTGGGTATTGATGTGTATACATTGGCAGCTACTTTGTTTATAACAACGGGATTCGTGTTATTTTGGCGAGTTTCGCTAATGGCCAAAGATGAAAACGATTTAAAAGATTTATATTTGTACACAAACAAACACGCATACACCCACGCGCTAGCATTAACTTGAAATTTGCATTGAACATGTGTATAAATAGGGCATTAAAATGAGTTTTTAATTGCGAAAGACGCCGTTCATCTCTTTTAGTTGTTTTTCTCTTTGTTTTTGTTGTTCTTGTTGCAGCTGCTTCCGTTTTTGATTTCAATGCATGAAAGTGAAAACCGACAAAGTCCATTAGCGGCCGTTCGTTTCGTTAAGTTCTGCTTTGTTTCGTTACATTTACCGTTTTTTAATTTTAATGCCTTTTATTGGCTTAACATGCAGTTCAGCGCAAAAACAACTACAACAACTACAATAACAACGTTGGCCACTTACCTGGCTGAAGCCTCGTGCTCTGTCCGGGACGTTAATTGAGAGGCGCGAACAGCAAACAAACACATACATCGACATAAAAGGTAGGCAGTTCACAAACACACACACTCCACACTCTAAATTATGTGTATATAGGAGACCAGCGCTTAACAAAATATATTTTTACACACGTATTTGTTTGTATTTGTATTTGTATTGTTGGTTTTAAGTGTTTAATTTACTTTGGTCTTTGTGGCTTTTTGCCACCGGCTCTGCCGCCACCTGCTCTTCACCTGTCAACGTTACAATTCGGTCTGTCGCTGCCGCCACTGATAACACAATACTAAACAGCACTGGCAGGCAGCACACTGAACTGCGTTTTGCTTATAACTGTCTTTGCCTATTTCGTAGACTTTGCTTTGCGCATACAACGTTTTTTTTCCGCCTGCTCGAATGCGTTGTGCTGCGGCCGACGCGTAAACTACAACTGAACGCGCCTTCGTTTCATTGCGGACACTCTGTTGCGCACTCTTTACGCACGCAAGCCCAAGAGCGCAATTGTGACTGCGAGGGCTGCACAGCGAGCACTGCACGAAATGCGGCAGGCAGACAAAGATAGTTGCCAGCAAGTGCCGTTATGTTTACTAAAATTTCTTGCCGTGTTCGGAGCGCAGAGCTTTTGCTCTTACATGCGCGCGCTCTTTTGGCTTTGGCAAAAGCTTTGCGTTGTGTTAGGTCGTGGTTGCTGCTGGATGTGGGGGAGGGCGGCGGTTGTGTGTGTTATTAACTGCCAGCGGGTTGACTCACTGTCTGATTGGACGGCTGATTGACTGAAGAGACCGACTTTGGGCATTTTGAGCGCATTACTGGAGTTCAAGTGCGACCAATGGGCGGGGGTGGTTGGGCCCTTAGAATGTTGTTGTTGTTGTAGTTTTGGTGACTCGAGTGCGTCCTAGGAAATTAAAAGCATACTTGGAGGCGTTTAATTATTTATTCATGCGCTTTTGCCGCTGTTTGATTACGAAGAGCTTTACGCGCCAAAATAAAAAACCAACATGCTGTTGGATTTCCCAGCCCCCCCCCCCCCCCTCCCCCCGGGGGAAACAAGCATTCTCGATGCCATGGAATTTGCTGTCAGGGCTGCCTTAACAATTCCTTCCGTTGTTTGATCGAAATTATTTGAATATTTTACTCGCGAGCTTAAGATACACACAAAAAGAAAATTGCATAAATATTTACCACAGCCAATTCCGATTTATATATACATATATATTTTCTAAGCGACTCACGAAATGGACGAAAAACGCTCGTCCATAGCTAATTCGGTGTCCATACGGCCGAAGCTTATCTATGGCCTGCGCACAGATGTCATTGGCAACATTAACTTTAATCTGACCAAGGAGGTCATATATCCGGTGGAGGGTGTGCTCGCATTCCACGATTATGTGACCAACAAGCAGCGTTTTCTGCGCTTTCCGGAGGACACCACGCCGGAAATCATTGCGCTCAGCTCGCATCGCAAGCTGTTGGCCGTGCTGGAGCTGCACGCGAGGAAGTAAGAGTTCGTTGTGAAAGTTAGTTTAATGCTCTCTTTGTGCCCTCCCCCCCCCCCTTCGCCCCACAGCGGTCGCTATATATCCATCTATGAGCTGTCGACGCTGAAGAAACGTCGCCATCTGGAGCTGCCGGGCAACCATCGCAATGCGCAGGTGCAGCAAATGATCTTTACGAATGACTCGCGTGCCATTGCGCTGGTGACCAGGCCGCCCAATGAGATGGTCTTCATGCTGGTGCTGGACAAGACGAGCACCGTTATTGAGGGACGCGCCACATTGCCGGGATCCCATGGCGGCGCCGAGTGCATTGCCGGCAATCCCAGCGATTGCGGCTTCCTGGCCGTGGCCGGGGATCGCACCCTGCTGCTGTTGAGCAAATCGGAGCGCGGCTTTACCATAAGCAACAACTTGAAGATCAACTATCGTGTCACCACAATGGCCTTTCTGTCCATGGATCTGCTGATGATGGGCACCGATCATGACCAGCTGATATTGGTGGAGAACGGTGAGCATAAGCTTAGCCAGAAGGCCAGCGTTGCCGAAACGGTGGACCTAATGGTCGACCAGGAGATGTTCGACAAGGATCGCGAGGCCCAGGAGCAACGCTATTCGGCCATACAGCCGGTAATCCTGCCCGATTCGCGTGTGCTCTGCATGACCGCCTTTGCCAGGGGCTTCGCTTACATCATTTTCAACAAGGTGTTCGTCTTCGAACGCGTCTCCAAGTTCAAGTTCGAGCGCAAGACCGTGCTAACGGTGCCCATCTCGATATATGCGGAGCCCCTCTATCAGATCACCAATCTGGCCGTCGATCACAAGCAGGAGACGGTGATCGTGACCTGCGCCCATGCCCAGATCTATGTGGGCATCCTGATTGTGCCGGAGACATTGAAGACCAAACAGCTCAAGTTCGAGCCGCTCGGCGTGCTCATCCACATCGGCGAGGTGGTCGCTCTCTCTGTCTGCGCCTGGAAACCCATCATTATGACGGCTTGTGTGTGAGATTTGGATCCCTATCAGAAACTTGAATCTAAGTGCGCCCTTTTCGTTTTTTTAGCAAGGGATCAGACCATACGCATCTGGAACTATGAGACGGCCAAGGTGGAGCTGGTGCGCAAGTTTCAGGTGGATGTCAACATTGTCGAGCTCAATTCCACGGGCCTCATGGCGGCCATCGGCTTCTCCGATCAGCTGCGCATCACACAGATCTTTATGGATGAGCTAAACGTGAGTTTTTTACATACAATTCTCTATCTTTTGATTGATTCCCTCCTCCTCCTCTTCCTCCTTCTCCTCCTCCTCCTCCTCCTCCTCCTCCCCGTAGATCGTCAAGACGTACAACTTTCCGCACTGCAACGATGTGAGATACTCGAACTTTGGCCACCTGATGGCGGCTGCCTATGACAACAATATAGCGGTGACATCGGTCTATAATCTGGAGGTGGTCATACAATTGAAGGGACACAATGGCACCGTCTTGTCCGTTGCCTGGACACGGACGGACAAATATTTGATATCCGGCGGCGCGGAGGGAGCCATTTATCAGTGGGACATTGAGACGGGCGCACGCCTGCAGGAGATCGTGCAGAAGGGCACCGAATATGTGACCATCTGTGTCAGCTTCAGCGAACCGATGACCATATTTGCGGGCACCAATCATGGCACCATACGCGAGTTCCAGGACTCGACGCTGCAGCGCGAGATTACGGTCCCGTCGCGCAATAAGGGAGCCGTCTCGGATCTGTGCCTGGCACGCTCCGATCTGATCATGTTCATTGCGGATCACGAGGGCGGGCTGTTCAATATGCAGCTGCCGTTCCTGGAGGCCGGCGGCGGCACCTTTACCAACTTCCGGTTCTTCGATGGACCCATAAGTAAGCTGCGTTTCACGTACGATGGGATGATGCTGGTGGCGATCTCCAAGCGGGGCACCGTTGCCATTTGGACAATGGATAACATTGAGGAGAAGGTGGCGCCCATGGATCAGGATCTGATGAAGAGCCAGGAGGTGCTCATACCACGCACCCAGCTGAGCGATAAAGTGGAGCAGATAACCAATCTGGAGCTGCGTCTGAAGCAGCAGGCCGAGGAGTTCCAGTATCAGCTGAGCCAGAATGAGATATTTGATGGCCAGCAGCTGCAGGAGGTGCATCGCAGCTATTGCAGCGCTCTCGAGGAGCTCAAGGAGCTGAACAATGAGATTGTGTCCAAGCACACGGAGGAAATGAATCTGATTACGTTCCAGATCAACGATATGAAGCAGGATCATCGCTCCCAAATGGACATACTGGCCAGCCAATATTCCGAGCGCATGCTCATCGAATATCAGAAGTTCACCAATCTACGCGAGAATATGCTGGAGCTGCGCGAGAGTTACGAGGATAAGCTGAAGAATTCGACGGGCACGCTGCAGGACACGATCGAAGCGCTGGAGAATGACTACAAGAAGCAGTTGGATGAACGCAAGGATCTCATACGTGAGCTCATGAAGGAGATGCAGGACAAGAAGGACGAGTTCATCAAATACTGCCAGGAGGTGGAGGCGGAAAATGATCGCAACATGGTTGCCACGCAAACCGAATACGAGAACAAGCTGACCACCGAGCGCAACGAGACGCAGATGTGGCGCGGCAAGGCGGGCGTGCTCCAAAAGAAATACGAATCACAGTGCAGGGAGATCGACAATCTGCTGGAGGAGGTGGAAACGCTCAAGGAGGAGCATATCAAGTCGCAAATGAAAATGCAGAAGCAGATGCGCAATATCGAGGATCTGCAGAAGGACATCTCGGATCGTGACTATGCCATCGGTGCCAAGGAGAAGCGCATACAGGAGCTGCTGCATAAGAATCAGGAGCTGGACAAATACAAGCAGGTGCTTAATCACAAAATTGCCGAGCTGAAGGCACAGATTGAGCCGCGCGAGTTCCAGATCAACGACAAACGCAAACATATTATCGAAATGGAACACGAACTGGAGGGTCTCAATCAGAACAACATACAGCTGGAGCTGCAGCTCAAGGAGATGCGCGACAAGTATCTCAGCAATGTGACCGAGCTGCGCTCCGAGCGACATCGCGCGAAGGCCGCCCGCGAATGCCTTAATGCCATTTGCACGGACATCTTCTATGTGGCCGGCGAGGTGAGCACCGCCGATGGCCTCAAGAAGGCGGTCAAGGAGCTGTTCCACAAGCACGCCAACGATGATGAGCTCAAGCGCTTCGTCACACTCGATGCCGAGGTGCGCGATGAGTTCTTGCGCCAGCGCAAACAAATCGAGACTGTGCTGGCGCGCTACAAGTCCGTGGCGGAGGACAAGAGCGTCCAGAAGAAATACGATAAACTGTTCCAGGAGAATGTGGTGCTGCTGGAGGAGATCGAAGGTCTGCGCGATGAGAATAGAGGCCTGCGCACGCGCGTCCGGGAGGATGTGCGCAGATCTGGCAGGAGAACTAACCGAAGACTCGAGAGTCTAATGTAAATGCTGGCCAATGGAAATGAGATGTGCACAACTGCTGCCGATTCTGATGGAAATAATCTTATATAAAAATATATATATGTGTTTCACAAAGGACTCGTACATACATGGGATTTACATACATACATACAAAGGTTATGCTTAGTTCGATGAATAAAGTAAATGGCATTAGTTTCAGGCTTCCAGCAGCACCTTCTTTGCACTGTCCTTTACTTTGGTCGCTTTGGTTGCAGCTGTCTCCTGCTCGTCCTCCTCATCCTCAAGGTCATCCGCTGCTGTTGCCGCAGGTGTGGCTGGCAACTCTTCGCTGGGCACATCGGGCAATTGTACTCGCTGCTCTTCAGCCTCCAGCGCATCGAGCTCGGCGAGCACATCGTCCTCGTCTTCTTGTGTCAACACATCCGTTAGTATGGCATCAATCTCCTGTTGCTTTTCGATGCCCTCGCGTGTTTCGTCCATTATCTTCTCCACCTCGTTTATGTCCAGCATGTCGTGCACCTTCTTCAAGGCAGCATTGCCCTGCTTCAAGCCATCCAGCACCTTCATTTCCACCTGCGCGAATTCTAAATCGGCGGCTAACTTCTCCAAGTTGTCCAGCTGTTTGTCGGCGTTCGAGAGCAAACTTTCCTGATACTTCTTTTTGCGCAGCAGCAGTTTGGCGCGGCTAAAATGGATTTCTTTGTTTAAACAAGGTCTTTTGGTAAACTACGGTAGCTGCTTACTCCTTTCTGCCCTGCTGTAGGCACTTCTTGGCGAGCAGTCTATCATTTTCGAGCTGCAGTTCGATGCGCTTCTGGTACTGTTTCAGACGATCCCGTTGCTGCTTCAATTGCTACGGTTTATCAAGGGATTAGCAATTGTTACAATGCACAGACAGGTGGACGAGCAGTTGTACTTACCAGAACGGCCTTGTCGTGGTCCGTAATGCGACTAGGAGCTGTCTTTTTGCTAGATTTCCCAAACAATGCACCCATGACTAACTTGCAATAGGCAACGACTTGCTATCGATATGTTGTTTCCCCTCGATATATTAATATCGCTCACGACTGAACTTTTGGTATTTAAATACTACTTAACATATCGATATTAATTAAATTAAAAAACTATCGAATTTGTAATTTTAATGAGCATATTTATTTTAAAAGATATATTCTAATTTGAATTTTTTACAATTTGGCCCTCACTGCTTCAAAACATTTGGTCTTATATCTCTTGAACATGCTACGCCAGAAATCCATACGCTCTACATCTGGATTTAGCTGCATTTTGCATTCCCTATCAAGTATCATATAATTCAATTGATATGGCTCGAGTTCCCCATTGGGATTCCTCGTTTGTTTCTCTACTGGTGTCCAGCTCTTCGATGGTTTGCCAGATTTGGCAAAGTTGGCCCACATATGGCCCATTTTCTCAGAAATTTGGAAATCATCTTGTGCCATGGGAGACTTATCATTAGCCATTTGGAATAGATAGGAAAGCTCATCGGCATGCGATGCTCCACGCAGTTTGTCAGCCTGGAACAGGCGCTTATACATGTTCCTGCCTCCCACATAGTCAAAACGATAGAAATAGAACGGCGCCTTCTGGAAGTTGGCGTGAATCTCTGCAGCATGCTGCAAGTCCATAATGAAATGCACATCACCTTGCAGGTCTACTAGATTGTCGAGACAGTCGAGCGTGAGCGGCTTTCCATTGAAATAGAATTGACGCATATCCTCGGCAGCCTGAAGTGCTTCTGGTGCCTCTGGATCCTCCACCAAACTGCGTGGCACCAAACGCGCCAAATCCTCGTTGTAGAGCTCCACCTTACGTTTGGGATTTGTCATCATGACCGTTCCCTCTGCCGAATTGTAATGACGGGCATTTTGGGCAGACGCTGCCTGTCATGCAGCAGATCAATAAATGGTTTAATTAGGAAGCTATCCGGACTGCTTGCATCCTCCACAACTGGCTTAAATGAGAAGGGCAGGTGACGACGTCGCTCATCATCGTTCAGCACATCCAAAGTTTTCGCTAGCATTGCCAATGGTGTCACCGCCTTGGACTGCAGGAATTCCAACAGGTCACTAGCCCGCTCTATATTCTTGCCCTCCAGCAGTTCGCCCAGACGTCGCGCTTTGTATGCACCATTGTCCTGGAATACCCACTCCGCGTTGCCAGTGCCGCTCTGCATGATGGCTTTGTGGAACAGCTTGTTGGCTTGCGGACCGTACATGTGCATATGAACTGACGAAGCGCCAGCGCTCTCCCCAAACAGAGTCACATTCTGTGGATCACCATTGAAGTTGGCAATATTATCCTGTACCCACTGCAACGCCAGACGCTGATCCTTCAGACCGGCATTGCCGTGTATGCCCGCCTCGGGTAAGCAGAGGAAACCCAATGCACCCAGACGATAATTCAGGGTAACCACAATGACCTCCTCTTGCATTAGTTGCGCAGGAAAGTGACTGCAAATGGAGAAATTATAATGATGTTTACAAATTCGCAGGGGTTCACTTACTAGTCACTGTTGCCATTGCCGAACCAGAAGCCACCACCATGAATCCACACCATGACGGGCAGAGGTTTCTGTGACTTGCCCTTGGGCACATACACATTGAGGAACAGGCAGTTCTCAGAGCCAATCACTTCTTGGGTAAACGGATCACGCTGATGCGAGACGTCACCTTCTTTGCTGCAGTTTAGTTCTTGCTCCTTGAAACGCTCCAGGGGCACAGGGCTCTGGGAGGAACAAGAAATTACCAGTTTGCAAATGGATCTTTGTGTGAAGCACTCACCCGAAAACGGAGCTCTCCTACGGGTGGCTCTGCATACGGCACGCCCAGGAAACTTTCGTACTGTAGGCCACTTGGCAGCTGTTGCCGTTGTCCGACCACAATTCCTTGTCTCACAGGCACCTTCACCTGCGAATTGATTGCTTTAAATTTAATAAGAATTCCTCAGGGCTTTTCATCTTACTTTTCCATTGCTGTATAATCTGAGGCACCTGGCTGTATATTGTCCACGTCTCAGGGTAACGAAACCCCACATAATTACAAATACATATATATATGGCAAATCGTAATCTCTTTGTAATTAAAAAATCTTTTTAAATATATTTAAACTGATCTTTGGACGCACCAAAAGACAGCTGATTGATCTTGGAACTTTCCGAAGCCGCCGGATGCTTAAAAGTATCGATATATCAGCATTTAAAAAATACTAAAAATAATTTATCGATAAGCTATCAATATATATCATTGAAATTCGAAATATTATGAGTATATTTATTGTTAAAAAAATATCCGTTACAATTTTGCTCTCAACGCTTCATAGCATTGGGACTTATATCTCTTGTACATGCTGCGCCAAAAATCTATACGCTCCGCATCTGGATTTCGCTGCATTTTGCACTCCCGATCGAGCAGCATATAGTCCAATTGGAAGGGCTCGAGCTCCCCATTGGCGTCCCTCTTTGGTCCCTGCACTGGTGTCCAGCTGTCCAATGGCTTCCCATTTTTGGCAAAGTTAGCCCACATCTGACACATGCGCTCAGTCATTTTGGCATCCTCTGGCTCCAGCGGTAAATCGTCATCCACCATTTGGAATAGGTAGGAAAGTTCATCGGCATGCGATGCTCCACGTAGTTTTTCCGCCTGGAAAATACGCTTGTACATATTCCTGCCGCCCACATAGTCGAAGCGATAGAAATACAATGGGGCGGTACGCTGGCAGTTGGCATGAATCTCTGCAGCGTGCTGCATGTCGATGTTGAAATGATAATCAGTGAACAGATCGACCAAGTTATCGAGCCGCTCGGGCGCTACTGATTGCCCGTTAAAATAGAATTGTCGGATGTCCTCGGCGGCTTCGAATGCCTCTGGCGCCTTGGGGTTTTCCACCAAATTGCGTGGCACCACGCGTGCCAGATCTTCATCGTAGAGCTCCAACTTGCGCCTGGCATTGGCAACCATGGCTATGCCCTCGCCAGAGTTATAGCCCATCAGCAGTGGCATATCACGCAGGCGCTCCTTGTCATGCAGCAAGTCCAGAAATTGAGTATTTATGAAGCTATCCTGACTGCTTGGATCTTCGATAACTGGCTTAAAGGCCAGTGGCAATCCGCGCCGTCGCTCATCAGCCGTCAGCACATCCAAAGTTTTCGCCAGCATGCCCAATGGTGTCGCCGCCTCGGACTGCAGGAATTCCAACAGGCCGCTAGCCTGCTCTATATTCTTGCCCTGCAGCAGTTCGCCCAGACGGCGTGCCTTGTGCGGAGCATCCTGCTGGAATACCCACTCCATGTTGCCAGTGCCGCTCTGCATGATGGCTTTGTGGAACAGCTTGTTGGCATGCGACGCATATGTGTGCAGATGCACTGCAGCAGCGCCAGCGCTCTCCCCGAAAAGTGTCACATTCTGTGGATCACCATTGAAGCTGGCAATGTTATCCTGTACCCACTGCAACGCCAGACGCTGATCCTTCAGACCGGCATTGCCGTGTATGCCCGCCTCGGGTAAGCTCAGAAAGCCCAAAGCACCCAGACGATAATTCAGGGTAACCACAATGACCTCCTCTTGCATTAGCTGCGCAGGAAAGTGACTGCAAATGGAGAAATTATAATGATGTTTACAAATTCGCAGGGGTTCACTTACTAGTCACTGTTGCCATTGCCGAACCAGAAGCCACCACCATGAATCCACACCATGACGGGCAGAGGTTTCTGTGACTTGCCCTTGGGCACATACACATTGAGGAACAGGCAGTTCTCGGAGCCAATCACTTCTTGCGTAAACGGATCACGCTGATGCGAGACGTCGCCTTCTTTGCAGCAGTCTAGTTCTTGCTCCTTGAAACGCTCCAGCGGCACAGGGCTCTGGGAGGAACAAAAAATTACAAGTTTGCAAATGGATCTTTGTGAGGAGTACTCACCCGAAAACGGAGCTCTCCCACGGGTGGCTCTGCATACGGCACGCCCAGGAAACTTTCGTATTGCAGGCCACATGGGAGCTGTTGCCGTTGTCCAACCACAACGCCCTGGTTCACAGGCACCTTCACCTGCATATTGAGAAAGTGAATTTAGGTAACAAACTGTTTGCTGATGGTATTTGGCTTACCCTCATATTGCTGAATAATCGGAGGCAACTGATTGAATACTGTCCGCGGCGAAGTGTGCTGAAGGCCCACATAATTAGAACTTAGGTCTACAAACAAAATCTAATCACTATGTAATTTCGGTCCGAAAAGCCAAACCTGTTTAGAAATGAACTTTAGACGACGCACAAACAAAACCAGCTGATTTGACTTTAACCCTTCAGCGGGCACGACGGGCTAATATACACACATACACACGCATACAATACATACATAAAAACTCTAGCGGAATCATCATGATTAAGCTAATTCAATAATGATGCGGCAACTTTATGATAATAATGATAATAGCTTTCATAGAATTTTTACTGCAGACATAAACAGGAAAGGAAAGTTATTTTCGAGGCTAAAATTGGATAACTCTTGAATAACTACTAAAACTGATAGACAAATAAACCTCTACGTTCTACTTCCACTTTGAATAATTACATAATGAAATAGGGATAGTATTTAAAAGAAATTGATTGGAGTTTAGTTTACTTAACCAACTCCCCCCAATCAAGATTCATTCAAACGCATTCGTTTTGCATAAACAAAACCAGCTGATTTGACTTTAACCCTTCAATGGGCACGACGGGTTAATATACACACACATAAAATACATTCATAAAATCATTAGCGGCATCATCATGACTAAGATAATTCAATAATGATACGGCAATTTTATGAAAGAGCCGCGAGAAATATTTAAAAAATAATTATAGTAGATTTAATATAAATGTTTAAAGCAGATATAAACAAGAAAGGAAAGTTATCTTCCAGGCTAAAATTGAAAAATTCTGGAATAAATATCGCTTTATATAATATAAAATATAAAAAAATAATTGTAGTAGCTATAATAGTATTTTTACTGCAGATCTAAACAAGAAAGCAAAGTTATCCTCGAGTTCGACTTTGACTAATTATGAAAATAAAATTAGGCAAAGTTTTTTAAAAAATTGATTTATGTATAGTTTACTTAACTTAAGCATTTGCCCAGCCCAACATTAAAACGCATTCGTTTTACACATTTATAATTACATTTAAAATGTTTCTAAGTTTTATTTGACTAGTTCCATTGCATAAACATTAATACAAGTTTTCAAATTTCATTTTAGTTTTTTGTTTTCTTCAATATAATTGTTTTTGTTTTTGTTTTTGTTTTTGTTTTTGTCATGAAAGAACTCTAGCTGTAACTATGGGTTTGTACGACGAACAGCAACGACAAGGGTCGAGCTGGCAGTTCGGAAGCCGTGAAAATTGGTGTTTTAGTCAGTTAGAAACGGAGCAGGCTCCGAGACAACTTGATAAAGGGTTTGAGCTTTTCACGTTTTCCGAACAGTTTTTACCAACTCACCATTGTTGCTTCTGTTGTTGTTGTTGTTGTTGTTGCTCGTTAGGTAAGGTAATTAATAAGGATAATTAACTTTAGTTGTAGTTGTTGTTGTTGTTTTTAAGCATAGTTGTGTTTTGTTTGTTTGCTCACACCGAAAAATAATGAAAACATTTACACTTATGTACATAGATACATGCACACCACATTGAACAGACATACATCCATAAAACACTTAATAAACATTTATAATAGTAATAATAATAATAAGTAATCCGTAATCATAATAATGTGTAGATAATAGATAATAAGTTTATATAGCAAACATTGAGAACATATCTTCTCTATGCCATATAACTACTATATTTGATGTATATAAGTTTATATGTTCGAGACTCTTTTAGCCATGGTTATTCGCATTTGTTTTTGTTGTTGTTGTTGTTGTTGTTTTTCTTTTTCTTTTTCTTTTTGTTTTGCTTTTAAAATAAGTTTCACAAAAATGTTTCTTTTACAAATAGTAAATTGGTGTTTTGTTCTTCATCTTCAACTTCTTCATCATCATCGACATCGTCTACAACTATATCTTGATCGTCATCTTGATCAAAATTGTCATCTTTATGGGTAATTATCTAATCTAAAAACGTCGCAGCGCCAAAGTGCGCTTCAAATAGAGACAAATGGCTCGATGTATTAGCTCATATTGCTCCGAGTTTTGCACCATGCCGCCGCGTTGCAGCCGCAAATTGCAAACAATGCCCAGGATGTCCACAAATATGTCTGGCATCTTGGGCAATTGATCAAAACTAACCGCATCCGGCTGCTCAACAATGTGCTGGATGTGCAATATCGTATTACAGCTAAAGCTGGACTCTGTATCCGCATCTCGGACATTCTGTATAGCCTCCACATCCGCCATGGTCAGCGTTCGGCTCAACATGCCCGTCAGCGAATAGGCAAGGGATTGTCGCAGCTGGCGCACCGCATTCAGTATGGCCGTAAAGCAACCGGTCCGTCCAATGCCCGCCGAGCAGTGTATCACCGGCAACGGTTGCACCGCATTGAAGATGTCCTGCTTGTAGATCTCCAGACGTTGGGCGCTCAAATGGGCATTGCGCGTGTAGCGCTTGTCATCATAATTATCAAACTCCGACTCGCATTTGCCCAGATTGAGCACATGCAGGCAGGTGTCCAGCAGCGTATTAATATCCCGCGGCGAATGATGATCCGGCCAATCCGGATACCAATAATGATAGCAGCAGATCTTTTGCAAATAATACTCCAGCCGGCCCGCGCTCTCCGGCACATTGATGCAGTAGAGCACCACCAGCTTGCGCACGGAGTAGCCATTGCGTCGCACAATGCCCACATTTTTGGCCAAAAAGAAACTGCCATCGGCGGGCAGGGTGCGGCGCAATGATTCGCTCAGCGTTACCTTAAGCGAATCGATGGCTATGTGCCAGCGATTGTTGAGCTCCCGTTCGGTTGCCGGCTGCTGCAGCTCACTAGAAGTGAGTCCACACTCGACACTGTCCAGCGTTGGCAGCAGATGCGGCTCAAAGTAGTCGCGTGCCAGCGCGCTCAGCTCAAAGACTTCACCCTTGGCGGCCACAGCAAAAATTTCGTTTAGCTCGATGGGAAAATAAATGGCGCACTTTTGCCGATTGCATTCCGTGAAATTGGTGAGCATTACGATCTTCTGATAGTACTGCTGCAGGATGTGTGTCCTGTCCACATGCGGACTGCTGCCGCCGCCGTCCATGCAGCGGCGTATATAACGCTGCGTATTCTGATAGATCATTAGCCAAAATTCGAAAATTGTATTGGGCAGAGGACCCTGCGAGGCCACATAGCACTTGGACACATAGTCCGGGCCCTGGAAGCGAAAAGTGGTCATCAATATATTTGTCATAAATATTTTAGGCTTACCTTGATGTAATTGGCATTGATGTAGGGCAAATCCTCATTGGCCAGTAGCGTCGTTTTGCTGATTAGCTCCTCGCTGCTGGTTTGTGGCTGCAGCAGGCAGCTCTGCTGGTGCTGCTGTTGCAGATTCAACAGCTCCGTGGCCTCGCTCTCGAGCAGCACGCGCGAATGTTCATTGGGCAAAATCGTTTTGTAGCGATTCTTTGTCTGCGAGCCAAACACCATCGGCTTCTCCTGATGATTGAGCGGCAAATCCCAGAACTCCTTGTGCAGATCACGAAATATGCGCTTCTGTTCATCATCGCTCAGCTGGGGCAGAGGCGTCACAATACGCTTAACCACCGCCTGATACATGGCCAACAGTTCGCTATCCTCCGAGGTGGGTGGCACTTGATTTGTGGGCGTGCCGCCCTCACCGCGTCCCAGCACCAGCACCGGCGGCTGCTCCAAATTCACCTTGTAGCTGTCATCGAAAACATGATTCAGCTTGATCAGATCGTACTGATTGAGCGGATTCGAGGCGCTCTGCAGCATCTGTATGCTGGCCAAATAGATTTTGAATTCCTCGCTAGTCGTTTGCGGCGAGAGCGGACGTGTCATAATGTTGCGTATGCCCACGCCCACGCCTACACCGACTCCAACGCCGACGCCGCCTCCACCAGCCGCACAGCTGCACAGAACAACGCCGGGCTCGGCATGAGCCGCGGGCGACTTGTTCTTCGACTGCTCGCTGGGCTGCAAATCCGAAGCGGAGCCAAAGCACAACGGCTGCTTGCTGCTAAAGTCCAAATACTGCGAACTGTTGCCGCCACGATTGCTGTTCAGATTCTCCGTGCTGAAGAACTTGCGCTGATGCGGCGATTGGGCGGCATTGGCAGCACCACAGCTGCACACGGTCAACTTGGGCTGCAGCTGCTCTGCAGCGACGCCAACTCCACCAATTAGCTGGCCGCTCATGTTGAGCGTCAGGCTTTGATTGCTGCCGCGCCGCTCGAGCAGTCCGCGCTTGGGCGTCGTGGTCACATGGCTGGGCGTCTGAGTCTGGGCCATGGAGTTAAGCTCGCCGCACGAGTTGGTCGTGTGACTCTTTAGTGTGATGCTGTGATTGGAGCCGCGCCGCCGGAACAAGCCCTGGCGCGTGCACTGCACGCTGGCCGCAGCGACAGTTAATTGATTGTGCAGCTGCTGCTGCTGTTGTTGATACGACGGCGGCTGCAGCTGTTGTTGCTGCTGCTGCTCCAGATTGCAGCTGGACTTGGAGTTGCTCACCGAGCCCAAACTATAATTGGACACGCTCAGGCCGCTGTTCATCAGATTGCCACAGGAGCTGTGCAGATTCAGTGTGAGGCTGTGATTGGAGCCGCGACGCTGCAGCAGATTCATGGAGCTGGCCATGCTCTTAGCCTGGATGTGGCCACTGCCGGGCAAGTCCATGGACTTTTGCTTGAACGGCGACTCCACACCGACGATTGGCGTAAACTCCACCAGTGTCAGGCACTCGGGCAACGTTTTTAAATTGGTGCTCGACGAGTGCAGCATCGGATTCAGTTTGTGTGCGCTGCGCGGCGCCAAGTTGGCGCCCAACGAAAATTTGCCACTGTTGCTGTCCGTACTGGACGCCGACCTAAGTTCATCTGTGTCCAGTGAACTCTGATATGGATTTTGTTTCCGATGATACATTTGCCAATCGCTGTTGTTCAGGCCGGGAGATTTGCGGCGCATGGTGCGCCGAAATTGCAGCGACTGTTGCGTATCCAGCCGGGAGAGAGAGGTGGAGTACAGGCTGGAGGCACTTGGCTGCATGAGCATATTGCTCGCATTGGCATGACCACTGCTGCTGCCCGGCGCGGACATATCGTGAGATTCATTTATGTGATGCACCACAATCGAGAGCTCCGTCTCGTTGGCAGCCGAGTCCAGGGACCGTGCCTTCTCCTTGGTGCACTTAATGGTGGGCGTCTTTGGCTTGGCCAGCGTTGATGGGGATGCCGGCTGTGCTGAGCTGCCTTTGCTGGCCAGCTGCACATCTGTGATGCGTATGGTGAGATTGTTTTTATTCTTGCGATTGCGGCGATTGCCCGCCTCCTGCTGCAGTTGGGCAACTGCGACAGCATTTGCTTGCTGCTGATTGTCAGGATCCTCGGCTGCCAGAGCAGCAGTTGCGGGCGGCACCATATCCTGGACCACATGATCGATTTCGGGAAAGCGAAAGAAATTGCCATTTTTATAGCCCGCAGAATTGATGATGTTTAGCGGTGAACCGCCAAGTGAATGATTCAAATTGAGATTATTTATAGAGGCGAGTAGTTTCGGTGAGTAGCTAAGGCGGCTCGAGTCGTTAAGGAGGTTTGGTGTTGTTGTTGTCGTCGTTGAGCTGTCATCTCTAAAAAGGATTGTGGGTGAGTTGTGTTCGCTTTTCGATAAATACAAACTATCGTGATCGTTATCGGTGTTGCATTTTTTTGGTATTGTATTTTCCTTGTTGGCAAAGATGCGTCCGTCCTGCGGCGAGCACGAACGGCGATCGTATAAAGAGAATCGCTTGAATTTACGATTCAGCGTCGTCGGCGATTGCGGCAACTGTTGTGTTGGCTGCTGCTGCTGCTGCTGCTTGGGATTGCAAATTGTAAACTGTTTGGGTGTATAAAGTGGCTCCTCATCGCAGCAGGCTCGTGCGGGCTCAGCGGCTGCTGCTGCTGTTGTGGGCGATGGGAACTCAAAGGAGGTCTGCAAATACTCCAGGGGCGTAAAATATGGTGTGGGCGTGCTCTTGTTGCTCTCCACATCCACATCGGCGTCAGCAGCATTGGTATAGGAGCACTCAATTGATGCAATAACTGCATGTTCTTTGTTGTTGTTTTTTAACTTGTCCATTATATACACACACAAAACACACAGAAAACGCGCTGCGCTCCGCTCCACACACACTCCACACTCCACTCCTCTCCTCTCTTCACTCACACGCTCGCTCGTTCACACGCCTTCACTTTGCTGGGCTGCTGTTTGGCTAGACAGGCGCTGCCATGCAGTTGGTATAATGCCGTCAAACGGTTAACATTATTGGCTTGCACATTGGCCACTAGCTGGTTGAAAAACTACATAAGCATTGCAAGTAAATTGCGCTTTTCACAACACAACATTTTACACGCAAAATAAGGAAAATAATCAACCTAAACACAACTAGTGTGACCAGGCCATGATACACTGAATATGTACTATATCGATATACAAATTGTACACACGGTATTTTCTTGGGGTTGAATTTTTGTAGTAGCTATTTTGCGTTAAAATACTATTTTATCGGCCGTTGCGTTGGCAGGCCAAGTTTATTGTGGCCGTTTCATTTAAATTTGGTTTTTTTTTTTCAACAGGCATAACTTAGAACACACAATATAACTAATATAACTTTTAAAATTTATCTGTCTGAAAAATGTTTACTAGCATATCAGTTGATCAGAGTTCAGCCATAGGCGTAGCATGGTGCGATTTTGTGCCAAAAGTGCAGCTTCCTCGAGATATTTAAAATGCTTGTCCTCAAACTGTGGTACCTTCATTGGCTCTGGCGATTGTAAGCATATGACGCAAATGCTTTGATTTTTGATTAAACGCTGCAAACGCTCATGATGAAAACTTAAATAGCTAACAGAATCGATAAATGCCGGCGATTTCAATTTAGCACGCTTTAGCACCGCTTGACCAATCGACGCTGTTAAAGAATTGCCCTGAATTGAATTCAAATTTCTAGCCGTTTGCACAGCCGCAACTGTAGCAGTACCTGCTGCATTGCATGCCAGTCTTTTGAATTTCAACTCAAGTGCTTTAATATCAGCGTCATCTGGTTCGGTTTTGGCATTAGTTAGTTTAATATGCGATTTGCTAGCCTTTTGGGTGATCTGTGTTTTTTTTTTTGTGATGCACCCCTTCAATCTGGCCCTCTGCTCAACGTCGGCCCGAAACACTTTCGGATCGACACGGACAATATGCGGCTTGGGTTGTTCATCAAATATCCGAAACTTTGTATCAGCTGTTATCTTAATGGCCGCCTTGCCCTTGCCAGGCTTATTCGATTTTTTGAGACGCGGCGATATCATTACCTTCACACCAAGACCAGTCTGCACGGCGGCCGCATAGCTCATGCGCATACCCTGCAATGATGGTGATGGCGACGCGACCGGCGCTCCTCCCTCCAGATTCATATATTCACCGAGTGGCTTGCGCCGCACCGGCACAAACTGACATGGCGGCGGCTCCTTGGCCAAATCATTGGCGCCATCGTTTTGCTTTCGTCGAGCATTGCGGTTTTTGCGTTTGACGAGCGCAGCCGCTGATTTTGATTTGGGCGCCTCCAGTTTCGACTTACGTCTTCCTTTGATTACCACTGGTTGGCTGTCTTTGGTGAACGGACGCATTGAATTTGAAATTATTGAATTTACTCCACAACAACAATCGACTTAATAGTGACTTACCGATATCGGGATGTAGTTTTCGCGGAGTTCTGTGATGTTTTTTATTGCTACTTTCATTTTACAAAATATTTATTTTGTTCTACCTTCTCTGACAGTAAATTTAGATGCCTTTAGCATTCGTTTACAACCAGAAAGTTTTTAATATCGTATCAAACATTCAAATATATTAAATACGAAAAAATGTTTCCCGCTGGTTTGTTTGCCCGTACACAAACCGTAAATCTAAATTACGCGTAAGCCAATCACAACTTATATTTTAAAAATATATGGATTTGAATATGTTTTTTGTTGCATTTTTTCGAAGACTATGTTCTAATAGACGTTACTCAGAGACGAAGAGCAGCTTGCCGAATGTCTTCTTGTTGGGCGGCGGATTAGGAAAGATGCAAGGTGGCATAAAGGAAGAGGAATATTTTAGCTCAGTCAATCAAGGACTGATGTGCAACATACGCAAGCACATCGAAACATCTAAGAATGCGGACCATTTACGCAAATGGGAGGAATACCAACGAACACTAGATCACGCAGCCCTCTATAATACCACATGTATGAACAAATACAAGGACCTACACGAAGAGGCCTTCTTCATGAACGAGGCACGATTTATCACATATAATTCCTTTACACAATTCGATAAACTTATTTCTTTGTTTAGAGCACCGAATGCTTAAAGGCCCTGCATAATCGCGAAAAGGACAATGACTCCGGCGATGAGGAGCCTTAGACTGCAGTTAAATCTGCAATCTAGTTTATAAATCGTATATACAACCGATGTGGACACTTGAATAGTTTTTTTTTGTTACTTAAATTTCGTTATCTCTGCTCAATTCAAAAACAAAACCGGTTACTATTCAAATTAAATTAAATTCGGACCGTTATAGTCATTAGTGATTGAGACAAGTTGGCATCCTCGACAATGCAATGGAAAACAAAACTAAAATAACGAACGCGCAGCTGAGTTTTTCATAATACCTTGAAATAAAGAGCATTATTCATCACCTGCCGTCGTATATATATTTCTTAAATAATATACTATATAGTCTGCCGCTATATAAATCAATATGTTTACATTGCGCCGTCTCAGTCAGCGCCTGTATCCAAAGCAAATTCAGTAAGTTCCATCAAAAAAAAAAGAAAATACATAAAAAAGAAAACATTGCATAAGCTTTCGCCCGATTGCATATAAATAAATAAATGCACCCAAGTTCGACTCGTTGGCTATATCTAATATATATACTATAAACTATTTGCCAGGCACTCGAAAATGTCACAAATAGGAGAACTGGGCAGCGGTGCCGGCAAAGGAGGAGGCGGCGGCGGCGCCATACGCGAGGCCGGCGGCTCCTTTGGCAAAATGGAGGCGGCGCGCGAGGAGGAGTTCTTCCACAAAACGGGTCTGTCCATATATACCTACTCCTATATAGTAATATATCGAATATAATTATGTGCATTTTGTATTCCCAGCAAAAGGAACAGCTTAAGAATCTGAAGACTAAAACAGACGCGAAGGCGCCGGGTGTAGCCAAGAAATGATTTTAATTGCTCGAATTTCTAGTTTTTAGTATGGTTTCATAATTTATTAAGGGGACATTTTTCGAATAAATTGGCATACACTGTGTGTATGCATTTGGCAAGTTATTCCGATAAGTTTTATATATTCTATGTATCTCTGATGAAATTATCAGCAGACCTTTTTATACCCTGAACCCATAGAAAATGGGAAAAAAGGGTATTACGTATTTATGCAAATTTATGTAACAGGCAGAAGAAAGCATCTCCGATCCCATAAAGTATATATATGTTCTTGATCAGCATCAACAGCCGAGTCGATCTAGCCATGTCCGTCTGTCTGTCCGTCCGTCCGTATGTCCGTCCGTCCGTATGTCCGTCTGTCCGTATGTATGAACGCAAGAATCTCAGAACCTATAAGAGCTAGAGAAATTTTAGCTGTAGGTCCTCCTAGTCCCCGCGCAGTACGAGTTTGTTTCCGATATTCGATAACTTACCCCGTTTCCAAGTAATCGATAAAAATCGATATCGAAATCATGTTTTTTGAGCAATTTCGGCAAATAATATGAGCTAGAGTCACCAAACTTGACATGTAGCTTCTAGAATAGTATATATATATCGAGTATCTTTTATTTTATACCTATCGCCTGTTGGAAGAAGAGGGTTCAGGGTATCCCCTAGTCGGGAGCTCCCGACTAGAAGCTCTTACTTGTTTAATCGATGCAATTATATTATATGCAATTATTCTATATATAGTCGAAGAATCTGCTTTGGTTTATTTTTAATCCAATTAATATTACTTTATCCCTAAAATATCTTTAATTCTCAACATTCAATTCCTTTTTAATATATATTTAATACAAGGTTTCCAATATTTTAATCATATAATCTATAATCTAATTCTCATAATTGTAAAAAAAAACTTAGTTGCTCGTAACGCTCCGAGAACTTTTGCAGTCCATGGCACTTAGGTGGTTGTGGTCTCGACCTTCTTGGCATTGTCCTCCTTGGATGAGGGCCCGGTTTGTGTGATCTGGATCAGGCGCTCAGTTTGAGGCGGCGGCAGTTTCTTCATGGGCGCCGTTATGGTCAGCAGACCATCCGAGGACAGCGAAGAGGTGACTGTGTCCGGATTGACATCACCTGAGATAAACAGAAATCATCAAATTATAGCAAGAGAAATAATTAAACATTCGAAAGCTGTACTCACTTGGCAGTTGATAGCGTCTGGAGAACTGGCGCGAGACGAATCCGTGCTCGTCCTGCTTCTCCTCGTGCTTGCCCTCGACTATGACGAACTTGTCGGCAACTTTGACGGTGATCTCATTGGGCGAGAACTGTTGCACGTCCAGAATGACCTCGAACTTTTCGCTATCAATGTTCAGCGTGGAGCCGGACTCCTGTTTCTGCAGACTGTTGGCCGAACGCTGCCAGGGACGCAGATAGCCGGAGCGCAGCACTGTTGGCCGCGAGTTCCAAACGGACGACAGCAGATCGTCGCGCTTCAGCCCTTGGCCAAAGTGCTGATCCAAGAGGCGCGACGTGCGCATTGGAAAGTCAATCTCATCCCACCAATCGCGGAACATTAGAGGCACAACGGACATCTACGTGACAGGAGAACAGAAGAGAGAAGACAGAACTAATGGCAATTAATGCACATCACCAGTTAGTCGAAAGTTGTGCAACGGATCAGTCGAAAATGTTTATGATCTTTTTTTGATAGTTTTTATATAAATTATTTTAGATAATTTTTATATATTTTTTATATATTTTATATACAATTTTATATTTTTTAAATATTTTTTGATATAGTTTTTATATATTTTTTATTTTTTTTTTATAGAGTTTTTTATATTTTGTGCCTTGTACCTTTGTTGATTATTCGTCAATTAGTCACCGATAGACACTTGAATTTATTTTTTTGTATATTCCGTTTCGCGGCTGAGGCGTTTTTGTGGAGCTTTTCGAAAATCTGCTCAGTTTTATAGGAACATCAAACTGTTTACATCTTCTATGTGCTAAAAATATGAAAATGTATTTGCCGTCTAATTTTAGCCGGGCGTCATCCATATGAATTTGCTCCCACAAGCATTCTATCTATATGAATATGTATATATTCTGTTTGGGCAAATATATTTGAGTATAGATAATGATATACCCTATAAAAAACACACCTCACTTTATGCATATTCCCGGCTTAGTATATCAAATAGAAAGATAATTTAAAACCATTAATAAACTACATAAATTAATTGTTAATTTTTTTCACAATTTCCATACAGGGTATAGTACATGCGTATACTTAATATTTTAGTAGAAAATTTTCGTGTTTGTTGTTTTGCTTTTGGGGGAAGACAGCGACGTCTGCGATGACGGCGATGCATGGAAATTTCTATAAACATTTTAAATGATCCACAGACCATTTGGAAAAATGGTGTTTGAACCAGCTCACACGTTGCATATATATTTATTTTTTCTGCTGCAAATTTATACCATATACCAGATTCTTTCATATAAATAAATGTACTCAAACATTCGGGATTTGCCTTTATTAGCCGAAATGTTTCCACAGGTTTCCAGACCTCAGAAGTTGCCAGAACCAATTTACGTTTGAATTTTTGTTTTTGTTTTTTTCCCAAAAGAAACATCTACGTTTGCTACTTATATTTGGCCTTATATTCGCTGATAGGAAATATTTTCAACCTGTTGAAATTTTTGATGCCACTTATTAAAATACTTTGGCATATAAATGAGTTCTTCGACTATTTTAGGAATCTGCTGCTGAGTCACGATGCGTCTGTTTATCTTAGACAAACGCCGTGACGTACTAGAAATGTCGCAGATGTCTAATTTAATAAACAAACAAACAATTTTTAAGGATTTCTAGGTAACGCCCTTCTACGAGATTCTCAGTTGTATAAGTAAGCTCAAAAATCCTATATAGACATAGTTCGAAATTTCCCACCCCCATAACTCGGTTAAATCTCATCCGATTTTCACGAGGTTTGGCCTTTTGTTCATGGTTTGGCCTCTAGATCAATCGTGCATCTAAATCTGACAACATTATTTTTAGTCGAAATTCATGTCATTATGGTACACTCAAATATCCTATATAGACACATGTCAAAATTTCCCACCCCCATAACTCGGTCAAATCTCATCCGATTTTCACGAGGTTTGGCTCTTTTTTCATGGTTTGGCCTCTAGATCAATCGTGCATCTAAATCTGACAACATTAATTTTAGTCGAAATTCATATAACAATGATACCCTCAAATATCCTATGTAGACACATGTCCAAATTTCCCACGCCCATAACTCAGTCAAATCTAATCCGATTTTCACGAGGTTTGGCTCTTTTTTCATTGTTTGGCATCTAGATCAATCGTGCATCTAAATCTGACAACATTAATTTTTTTGTCGAAATTCATGTAACAATGGTACTCTCAAATGTCAGATATGTGTAGACATAGGGCTAAATTTCCCACCCCCATATTTCGGTCAAATCTCATCCGATTTTCACGAGGTTTGGCTCTTTTTTCACGGTTTGGCCTCTAGATCAATCGTGCATCTAAATCTGGCATCAATATTTTTGGTCGAAATTCATGTGAAAATGGTACCCTCAAACATCCTATATATCCTATGTAGACATAGGTCTAAATTTCCCACCCCCATAACTCGGTCAGATCTCATCCGATTTTGACAAGGTTAGGCTCCTTTTACATGGTTTGGCCTCTAGATCAATCGTGCATCTAAATCTGGCAACATTATTTTTGGTCGAAATTCATGTAATAATGGTACCCTCAAGTATCCTATATAGACACATCTCAAAATTTCCCACCCCCATATTTCGGTCAAATCTCATCCGATTTTCACGAGGTTTGGCTCTTTTTTCACGGTTTGGCCTCTAGATCAATCGTGCATCTAAATCTGGCATCAATATTTTTGGTCGAAATTCATGTAAAAATGGTACCCATATATCCCATATAGGGGGTATACCCGCTAGTGTACGTATAAAAATATATTAAAATACAGGGCATTTGTATTAATAACTGAAACACCCTGTATTTGAGTATCCAGCAGCAGCCCCCAAATTGGAAAATCATTTGTTTGTGTGTATGTGTGTGTGTGTGTGAGTGTGCTTGTGCGTGTGCGTGAAATAAAGGGAGCCGACGAAGTCAAATCTCAAGCCGAGCGACGCCCAAAAGTAGGCCAAAGCCAAAACAGCGGCCAACTTGCCACAGGACATGCAGCTGTGTCGATGTCTGTGTTGGTGTCGCTGTCTGTGTCTGTGTTAGTGTCTGTGTCGGTGTCTGCTCCAGCTTCGGCAAAGCGTCATGTGATTCGCGAAAGAGTGGCGAAAACATAACAAAAACCGTAATTACGAAACGCAACGCAATGCATAAGGTGTGACAAATGAAAAGTTGAAAGTTTTGTCCGTATTTTAATTGCTTCTGCACGCTTTTAGGCGCTGCCCGTGACGTTAAGCCTGCCCAGAACTGGACACGGATGTTGGCTACTCCTGCTGATGCTGGCAATGGCGCTGAGCCCGCTGCACGCCACTGACGATGGACACCAGAACAAACGCTACTCGGACCAGAGCGTGCATGGTTACATGACCGAGGTATTAGCTGGTCCAATTAAATGTGTATTTTAACAGAGATTCCTAAACTTTGGCCACACTTTAGCGCACCTGCTGGTGGAACGAGGTCTGCAAGGAGGAGTTTCAAAATCTGTTTCGCTGCAAGTGCCCACAGTACTCCTACTGCCGGTAAGTGAATTCTATGAAATCATCAAATCCATTGAAAATCATTCGTAATCGTACACTTTCCTCTTAGCTCGCCGGGACGCTATTACAATGCGTACTGTTCCATGACAGATACCGGCTATATTTGGACCCAACTGGCATTGGGCACCGTTGAGCGCTGAGCGCGTGACGTCACACATATCGCAGCAGCTATAACAGCAACAACAGTAATAATAACACGATATCCAACACCAACAGCAGCTATGTACACTGACTGCTGACAGTATGCAACCATTTCCCAAGTGGCCTACAAAATAATATTCAAAAATGGCAGCTATGCTATTACATGTCCATTGGTTACAAATTCAATACAAACAATGCGAGGATCGTTAAAGTGTTTATAAATAAAGCGACCTTAAATAAGCGTTAATTAATGCATTTTAATTGCACTATTTTTAATATCAATGAGCACGCTTGCATATACACACACATACATACGTGCCTGCCTGTGTGCGTGTGCATGTTGGCTCTTGTGTTATCGATTTGTATGCACAATAAAATTATCTTGTGTTATCGAATTGTATGCATAACAGAATTATCGAACATTCGCATAAAGCGGCCATTTTGTTGCCTAACTTTTGGCGCTCAATTTTGGCAATTGGAAAATCAATAAACGCTTTTCAATCAACGCGTCTGCAGCTGTGTGCGTGTTACAGTGGCACAAACGATTTATTGCTACAGCTATCATATAAATTGCAGCTGTTTTAGCGCTTGGGGTCCCACGGTGCTGGCCAGGCGCATGCGTTCGCAATGAAAGCGAAAAGCGTAGGTGCTGTGCGTGTGTTGGCCCCGAGCCAGTTCAGTTATTGCCAGCTCAACATATAGTTAACTCCAACAGATGTTAAGGCAGCCAACGCGTTCGTCAGCCAAGAAAATCGTGTAGAAAAGCGAACACCCAGTACTGTTCAATAAAAAGTGTAAATAAACGCAGGATCTCGATTTTCAGGCTTAAAATGCAACGCGTTTTATTTGTGGCGCTGCTGGCGCTTGGACTGGCCACACTGACTGCGGTCAGTGGCAACCACCTGCCAGAGGCTGGCCTAAACCTCAATGAACGCTTCTTCGACGAGGTCAGGGAGCTGATTAAGCGCCGCATGGAGGTACGTTCTGTTATGCCAAAGATGGCTCTCACTCTACGTAACCCCGCCCTCTTTTTGTAGACCAAGCAGCTGCCTTTGGCGGGCGACGAACTGGCACTGCAAAATCAACGCAGTTACGACAATGTGCCCATACCAGCGGCCAGTGTGCCCGTGCCTGTGCTCGTAGAGAACTGGCCAACAGATCAGCATAGCTTTGGTCAGGTAACAGCTGTTTCCGTTGATCCCGAGGGCAATCCAGTGATTTTCCATCGCGCTGACCGCTATTGGGATGTAAAGTAGGTCAACAGCTGTCCACTAACAAGTGTTTGTCACACATATTCAAATGCTGTTATTGTTTTCGAATGCAGCACATTTAATGAGAGCAACATCTACTATCTCATCGAGTATGGGCCCATCAAGGAGAAGACCATTTATGTGCTGGACCCCAAAACGGGCGCCATCAAATCCGGCTGGGGCTCCGATATGTTTTATATGCCACATGGCATGACAATTGATGCGCACGGCAACTATTGGATAACCGATGTGGCCATGCATCAGGCCTTTAAGGTGGGCTGTCCAACTGAATAAGCTATCGATTCAATATGTTATCTTTCCATCACCTACAGTTCCGGCCATTTGAGAGCAAGCCGCAGCTGGTGATTGGCAAGCGTTTCCGGCCGGGTGCCTCTGTCAAGCAATTGTGCAAGCCCACCTCCATTGCTGTGGCCACAACAGGCGAGGTAGTTGCCACGCCTTTTAATTGATTAAAGTGTATCCATTAATTTCGCTTGTTTCTTTCAGTTCTTCATAGCTGATGGCTACTGTAATAGTCGCATACTCAAGTTCAATGCCGCTGGCAAACTCTTGCGCAGCATTCCCCAACCACCCGGTGCGTATGCGTAATATTATGCTTTCTAGAAACAGCTCAACATTACAGCCCCTTGTAGAATTCCTCTCGTTGCAGGTGCCACATGCGATTACCCTGTTGGAGCACTTGGATTTGCTGTGCATTGCGGACCGCGAGAACATGCGCGTTGTGTGCCCCAAGTGAGTAGGAGGAAACGTATTATTCAAAGATCG